TATCTATCTATCTATCTATCTATCTATCTATCTATCTATTGTCTCTCTGTCTGTCTGTTTGTCTGTCTGTCTGTCTGTCTGTCTGTCTTGTCTACCTATATATATTATCATTCGCAACACCCTGTTGTGATCAAACTATCTCTGAATCTATCTATTATTTTATTATATCCTTTTAGTTACTTTTACCTCTCATTTATTCGTTCGATATAGGCCAACGTCATTGTCCAATTGTTCCTAGCATGTGTGTGAAGGCAAATTGTCCTCACCATGCACTGTTTTCTGTGCGTTGAACTACATTGTACTAAACTGAATCACAGGACACCAGTGTGGGTAGATTGCACTTGCTCAATGCTAACATAACATATTATAAGATGTAAATACAAAATGCCAAAATGTGTAACTTGCAACCTGGTTTATACCAAGATTACATAAAACTTACAATGCGGTCACGAAATTTTGTTTCAATTTATAGAGACAAACAAGATGTTTTATTCTTTTTTTTCTTCTTTTTTTTTTTGATATCACGTCCACACTTAGGTTTACAGAATTGTTTAAAATGGTAAAGAACCTGTAGTAGAATTGATAACATTATGGTCTTCTTTTGTAATTATAGTTTTGCCTTTGCTTTGGCCAATTAGACCAAAACTGACTGATAAGTGTTTGCCTCATTTTGAGCACGTTAGGAGAAATTTTGTCGGATAGGCCTATCTTATTCTTTTTGTAGGGGCGTTATGGCCACCTCAGCTCAGCCTGATTTAGTCCTGACAAGCAAGGTCGAAGCCCGCCTCTTAAATGATTTAAATCGTATCGATTTGGGCATAAAAGAACTATGGATACATTTTAAAAGGAAAAAAGACTGGCAATGGACTGTCTCCGGGTTTTTATGCACCCCGCATAATTTAGCAAAATTTGGTAATTTTTTGCTTTGTTATAATTAACAGAATCGCATAATTTCACCCGTTTGGGCTCAGTTTGCATAATTTCGGATTTTTTTTTTTTTTTAAATTTTGCATAAAACTGCGGGGACAGAATGGACGTGTTTTTATTTTTTCATGGTGTCCTGCTGACTACCTCGTCCCTTCTCAAAATTGGACTGACAGTTCCATGTGTATGAATGTGGGGCCCTGTTTCTGACAATTCTGTGTGGAATGACAAATATTAACATATTATGTTTCTGACAATTCAGTTTGGGATGACGATTATTAAATGCGTGTTTCTGACAATTCAAGACGGACTGACAGATCCTTAATGTATGTTTCTGACAATTCAGTAGTGATTGAAAAAAACTAAAAGTATGTTTCTGCCAATTCAGCATGGAATGACAGTACTAAATATATGTTTCTGACAGTTCAGAATGGAATGACAGTATGAATGTATGTTTCTCACTATCTGACAATTCAGAATGGAATGACAGTATAAATGTATGTTTCTGACAATTCATTATGGAATGACATTTACTGACGCATGTTTCTGTTCGGCTGGGCTTCCAGATATCAGGCTCTTCAGCATCACTCCACGCGAGAACAAAAACGTATTAGCGACTTGCAGAAAGGAGAGATTGATCGCTTAGAGAAGGAAGTCCAGAAATTAGCAATGGTGAGTGGTCTCAGTTCAGTGTTATTTGTATGTCAAGGTTAGCAAAGGAACAAAATCCCCCTTTCTCTCCCCTTCTTCCAACCTCCCCCCCCCCCCCCCCATTCCCACCCCAAAACACTACAGAGAGAGAGAGAGAGAGAGAGAGAGAGAGAGAGAGAGAGAGAGAGAGAGAGAGAGAGAGAGAGAGAGAGAGAGAGAGAGAGAGAGAGTTTTGAGTCCAAGTGACATCCGTATTTTTGGACCCCTCCATAGGAATTTTTATTTTTTTCCTCTTCCTGCGATTTTGGGTAACCAAACTCCCTTTCTTTCCTTTCAAATAACTCATTATGAGCCCTGAATGGTGCTTAACTCTTCTTTGCCCGCCATACTCAGTTAGTGGGTGGTTGGTGGGTGCTCTGGTGTGGTTTGCTTCTTCTTTCCTATCAAACATCTGTCGTCCTTATCTCCCCTCCTTCTTTTTTATGTTTGTTACTCTCTTGTAACTCCTCTAATCTTCTGGCGCTCATATGACCTTATGCAGTTGCGAGCGCCGTAAAACCTCTACTAAAATAAACAAACATACTCAGTTATTTTTATTATACCGCTGCCTTTCTTTACGCCATATCGCTATGTATGCTGATAAATCACAGTACGAAAAGAGTTCACTTGAACCTTCGTCTTAACCTGAATCTGAGAACGCCAGTCTTTGGACTCTTTGCTGTGCCCTGGTTGTTTCATACGGGGTGCCCACTACAGCTGGATCAGGCCGATCCCATCCGTAGTGGGCACCATGCTTTACCATTAGATTTTTGCTTTTAATCTCCGCTGAATGTATTAGGTGCCTTTCGTTTGAAGCGTACCGGCGTCTGTGATGTAGCGTTTTAGGTGTTTTACCGTCGCACGCAGGAGACCCCTGTTCGATTTCCGAGGGGGGGGGGGGGGATTTGCATCTAGTATTACGGACTTTCTGCTGAGATGTATCATATCCCTCTCAGCCCAGGTTACCTCTGACAGGCAGAGTTGGAAGCGCGCCTCCTAAGTGATCTAAATTATGCGGACGGGAACGTAAAACCTTCAATAATAGTAATACATGTAATAAACTTTTGAAGCATACGGCACAGTACAACAGCAAGTAAGCTTACATGTCGAACATACTCATTCAATTGCACTTACTCTCTCCCCTCACCACCCCCCCCCTTCCACAGTCCCAAAGTCACGTGTCAGACAGCAACCGACAGCCACACCCATCACCCACACCAGTAGCGACATCATCACCACTTGCATTACCAACCACAACAGTAGCAACAACAACAGCAGAGACGACGAACGAGAAGACATCTCAGCAACTACAGTCCCGCATCAAACAGCTTCAAGCAGACAACGCAGCCCTGCGCAAACAGAGACTACAGACCAGTGAACGCCTCAATATGTCACTTCCCAACCTGGCTAAACCACAACCGATCAGGCCTGTGAGTCAGGTTTTATTTTTGTTATTTTTATTTTTTAATGTATTTATTTACTTGTTTATTTGTGTATTTATTTATTTATTTATTTATGTAACTCCATATCTAATCATGTGTTCATTTTTAACCATTTTGTATAATATTTGATTTATGTAATTTTTTGTTTGGTTATTTATTTATTTATTTATCTATTTATTTATCTATTAATTCGTTATGGGAGGGGAGGGGGGGTAGGTGTGCCTCTTTTGGTTAAGGGAAATCTTTATTCGTACTGACAATCATTGACAATGAAAATGAGAGTAAATAAGTATAGTCTATAGATCAAATATAATTTTTCAACCCTAAGAGGAAACAGTAAGAAAATATGTGGCCTGTTATGTTAGTCACAGTTCTTGTTATTATCCACTGCTGTTGCTGCTGTTCTTCCTGTTTCAACTCCAGCTGTACCAGTCTCTTAGCATCAAAATCACATCTCTTAGCATCGAAATCACATCTCTTAGCATCGAAATCACATCTCTTAGCATCGAAATCACATCTCTTAGCATCGAAATCACATCTCTTAGCATCGAAATCACATCTCTTAGCATCGAAATCACATCTCTTAGCATCGAAATCACATCTCTTAGCATCGAAATCACATCTTCTGCCTGCAATGGTAAATTATAAACGTCTTATTTCTACACTGCAGGCATTGGTGAAAGTGAACGGCCTATTTTTTGTGTTTGGTGTTTGTTTTTTGTTGCGTTTTTTTTTTTGGGGGGGGGGGGGGGGGGTTGGGGGGGGGGTCTTCGTCTTTTTTTATATGTACATAATATATATATATGTTTTTACACCCCTATCAACACAATTTAGATCATTTGGGAGGCTGTTTTCGACCCTACCTGTCAGGATATAACATTCCATTGCGGCAGTTCAGTTTACCTAGCCAATAATTAGGTTCATTGTGAAAACTATAGATTTATTAGAATCAAAATCAAACACTTTTTGGCTTTCAGTGTACTTTCTAATTAACATGATTCCTGCATCTCGTCTTCAGCTGTCGCCATTTGGGAGGCCAAGATCACCAACTCGAGATCCGGAAGTTCTCCGCAGACTTGAAGAACGCTTCCGGATAGGTGAGCAGAGCGCGATAAAGGCAGAGGAGCGGGCCAAGCTGAGTCAGAAAGTCATGAACAACAAGATAGAAGAGATGGCCAAACTACAACATACGCTCTTTAGTCAGAACCAGGTACATTGTGTACTGCCTGTTTGTGCATTTTTCAGGGAGGCCAGGGTGTGGCAACATTACAAGTTTTCCGGGGAGGGGGGGTGGTGTGTTAAAGGGGGGGAGGGGGGGTTGTTTATTGGGGGGTTTTGGGGGGGGTTGTTTTCTGGGGGGTTTTTTAAGTTTAAGTAAGAGAAAAACAGCACGTGAAACACGAATAGGTCCAAGAAGTGCCAAAGCTTAGAGGTATTACTAGAAAGAAGCACACCAAGAAAAGGAGGAGAGATGAGGACAATACATGAAAATGTTGGATATGAAAGAAGGAGAAAACCACACAAGAGCGCCCGTCAACCTCTCACCCAGCAACGTGACTTTATCAAAATTGAGAGGTTCAACTTGCATGCTTAGTTAAATTTAGAAAGTTTTATGGGACTCGAAAAGTAACTTACATGATAAGGTCATATATGAGCGGGCAAAACACAAGTTAGTTGTTTTCATGAAAGTTCACGGCATGGATTATACTTGCATGCCTTGTCTCATCCAACTTTAAAATTTTTTAGAAAAAAGTATGTTAACATAACCTTGAACAAAGTCATAAGCTATAAATTATGGCAAAGGAATGCCTTAACAATCGAAATGAAATTAGGTAAGAAAAATGTGAGGCAGCGTCGTGGAATCAGGCTCTCGTCAAAATATCCAAAGTGGAGAAACTAGCATTTTTCTGCAGGTTTGTGAATTGTTATCAATTTTTTTTTCTTTTTTGGCTCAACACCTTTCATGCCCATTAAAGTACTCATGTCTGTCTGGATTTTTCTGTAAAACGTTGACTGAAAGTACAATCAATGTAAATTTTCAGTTGCCACGGACTCTTAAGCTAAGGAAATAACTTATCTTTGGCGGCCATTTTCTCACTAATTTTACCTCTAAAAACAGGTGACCCCCACCTCCTTCATTCGCAAATATCTCGACTTGTATTCAAGATAAATGGGTATTATTTTCTTCTAATAAAGACAAGTGAACAAGCTTTAAGATGATACCAATAACTGTACATGCCGAAAAATTGACGAGAGCCTGATTCCACCACGCTGCCTCACAAATGTGCATGCATTCCAAACAACTCTAGTGCGGTCAAAACTTAGTGGCGCAACTTATCCTAAAATATCTTTTTAACGGGAGAACCAATGTCACCCATACTTTGCACAGCAGTTTGTCTCAATTTGTCTAAAGTTAATCATGTTTTTCCGCATCAGTTGAGGCTAGATTAAAAAACTTTTTATCATAAATTTATATAAAATGCTACAAATCTCCTACACGTAGAAAATGGAATTGTTAACAGCTCTTCCCGCTTCTCATACACATTTTGTATACGCACGCATATGGGTTACGTCACGGCTCACCAATGATACTTTTTAGTGGCAAAACAAGTTACTAAAAATTAATTCTATAGTGAACACTTTTTGGCACTAAATGTTATCAAAACTTGCGTTCAATGAAGATAATTTCGAGAACAGAAATGAATGACGGACTTGCTTTTAAAAGCGATATCATCCTAGCCTAACAGGTCTTTACTAAAATATTGATCTGTCAAGACAAATTGATACAAGTCACTGTTTAAAAGCTGGAAAGTTTGATAGTCGAGAAGATATTTGACAATAAGTTATGAATGTTTGACCGCACTATAGATTACACTAGGCCCGGCAAGTCTTGTATAGGAGAAAGTGTTTTGGGGGCCTTTTTTCTTTGGTCCCTTCTCCGTTGTACCCAAAAGTAAGTAAGTATACAGTAACTATCACATCATTGTATCATTGCTATGATCCTTATCTCATTTAAGTTTTTAGCATAATTAAATTAGTGACAAAAAATATAATATATTTAAAGACACGGAAATTTATATACTCCCCCAAAAAAGGGCCTACAAATTTAATGTGCTTGTGGTTCATTAAGTATTATAATAATGATGGAGCGATAGTTACTGTATACCCCCCCCCCCCCCCCCCCCGGGGCGGTGCCACTGACAGAAGTGTCATTAGACCATTCCCAAAGGGGGGGGGGGCATTTCTCGTTCTAATGCACAGTAGAATTGTAAATGGGCTGATCCAACAATGTCAGTCTCATAACTGTGCCTGAACTACAACAGGGAACTATGCTGCTGCTTTCTTTCCTAATCTTTACTATCGTCATTTTCCTCTACTTCTTTTGCATGTTTGTCACTCTCTTGTGACCCGCATTTTCCGGGGTGCCTTGATAGTCGAAGCAGACTTTGTGCTGTTGAAGCTAGAGAGGTGAGCAGAGTAAGTCTGATTCCCTGTAAAGACTTCTCTGTTGACATCCACCCCTTGGCGGTCACATGACCTTATGCAGTTGTGAGCCCTGTAAAACCTCTACTGAAACTAAACTACTTACTGTATCAACTTTTGCACCTCCCTGTATATATCGCCACCTCAGAGCTTTCTTGCCCTATCTCAATTCATTTTTTTACATTGAAAATGTAACTTCTTCTTAATTAAACTCACTCTTCGTTATGAACTATTTCCACCGTTATTAAAAATGGAGATAGGACAAAAAAAAGCACTGAGGTCGCGATATGGTGAAACACATGCATCATGTAAATGATGCATTTCGTTATCATAGCCTTCTTTATCTTTTAAATCCTTTTCCCCAGGAATTGCAAGAGTTGGAGAAGGCGTACAGTGATCTGCACAAACAGTACAACAACCGAGGTGTGTCCCCAGCCCGGGGTTTGAACACCACCCTGTGAGGGGACAGCCAAAGACACACCAAGACACGCCACTGTCTACATTGGAGCCGGACATTTTTTAAAATTTAGCTTTGCAGCAAAACAAATTAAGCCATACCACGTAAGTGCCAAAGATTAAAGGTGTACCCAGAGAGTGTTACATACAAAGAAACATAGGAGGAGATATAAGGATGATAGACGTTTGATAGTAAAGAAGGAGCAAACCACACCAGAGCACCCATCAACCATCCCCAATACAGAGACACTCGATAAAAATTCATTGTTCATTAAAAACAATGAAAAGGTTTTTTTCATCCTTAATATCAACACCGGGAGATTCAAAATAACTGGGGAAAAAAACCTTCATAAAAAGTGACTATTAAGTGCACACTATGTGTCTTTAATTTAACGTGAGCATAGATCCATAAGGCAACTGCATGTTTGGGGCAGGTATTTTTGGCCAAGTCTTGTAAAAGACATCAACTTAATAAACACATTCCACGCCAGACATTCTAAGACCATTTACAATAGTGTTTAGAAATAACCAGATTTAATTCTTGTTATTCTCTTTTTACGTTGTTTGCCATGGATTGAGAAAAACAAGGTTCACAGGCATGTTCAACATTTGAAAATGGTTCACACGAGGACCTGCATTATCTCTATGATAGCTGCACACGAGTATAAAATGCTCACGGAAACACATTACAAATCAAAAGATCATATCTTAAATTTTTTTTAAACACACATGTTAAGTAATTACAAGTATCGAACAAAAGACAGAAAAATCATAAGTATTAAAAACCCCATTTTGTCAGCCGATTTACCCATATTATAATAGATGAACGTGGATACTGACGTAGTTTAAAGAGTCGACTGCTGGTCAGAGCAAAGTGGGCCTACTGTTGTTGTTTCTAATATCCATGCTGCTGCTTTCGCCATACAACATTCCGTCCATTATAATTTGTGATAATTTATTAGTTGTAGCTATGTCCATGAAATTTACCAAAATATTAGATATTTGTATATGACATACACATGTAAAACAATCTGAGCTGTGATAATTCAAATCCTATTATAAAATATATAGTCATATTATCTTATAAATCCCAGTCTACGCAACATTAATAACTCATTATTGTTTCAGTTTTTCTACTATATCTGAATATAATCAAAATCCACTGTTCAAAGTGCAAGTCATTCTCATGTGCAGTTTTTGGACACCGTTCCCCTACCTTATGTAAGACCATATGAAAGCAAACTTATTAAAACAGCATCAGCTTACTGTGCTGAATTTCACAACAGGGTTCTCAAATCAACACATATTGTCATATAAACATAAGTCTTCCCCATCATGCTGAAAAAAAGGCGGGTCACAGCAAAAGTCACTGCCAAGCATTTTCCTTTAAAAATATTTTTTTTTTAATCTAAATATATCAGCTTGGGTAAAAGAGGGCCTGGACGGGTAACATCAGCTGTCAATAAGGTCACTCTTTACATATAAACATTACCAGAAGAAGTCGGTTCAGTTTAGTCTGGAGTTTGTTCTGAAAACTGAACTCTCAGAAATGAACGAGTGGTTGTCTTGTCTTTCAATTCAGTTCTTACCACAAAGCATTACATTTACCCTACCATAACCTCAATACTCTGCCAGTGAGATTTATCTACTTTTAGCTAGCTTTAAAAAAATCATATCGACCAGCTGTTAAAATAATGTACTGAGCCCCAATTTTTTTTAAATTACAATTTCTTAGCTGTGATATCAGTTGCATGTGCTCAAAAAATATTTTGTCAAAATTTAAATTCTAGATACAGTATAACACGGATAGCTTGAATTTGTCGGGACCGACCTGCGTAGTACGAGATCTTACAAAGATATAGATACAAAAAAACGGACCGCAGGCAGGCACATTCCGACGGATATGTGATTTCAAGTATTCTGTGTTCAACCTATCCGTGCTGTGCTGTATTGGGGAAAAAAACCCTGATAAAAACAAAGTATGTACTATTGGTAAAAGTATGAAAGTTTTTTCTCTGTCTACCTTCAAATTTTGCTTTCTGGGCTTAGTACATTAAAACAGTTTGCCGAAGAGATATATTAATATTATCGTTTATTATTATGTGTCCACAAGGATGGATTCCACTCGGGTCTTAAATGTTAGACTCAGAATGAGTGAAGTTTGTACATTGTTTAATGTTAAGTGACATTTTGAATACACAGGTCTGTCCTCAGACTGGCATACCAAATATAATGTTTCTATTTGTCAGTTGGGACAAAATGTAATCTAGAGATAATTTGTGCATCATTTTAGTATGTCATATTAATTGCAGAAGGTCCTTATTATAAAGGATTTAAGTAATTATCACCAAAATCAAAAACAGACACACATCACTGGCACTTGACTTTGGGACATTTCTCAGTCTGTGTTGTATTCCTGTCAGAATTGTCTTTGTTATGGACATTTATTTATTGCGTGAGCTGTATACCTGATGCTGAAGTGAGTTTATATTATTATTTTAGCTGTGCTTAATGCGGAAAAACAATTTCTTCCACTCATTTACTGATTTTTCATTTTTGTACTACCATTTATGCTCGTAGTTCATGGGTGTGAAATATATTATGAACTCCATACCGGTATATCATATATATATGTCTATCAAATATCATATGGACTATCATATAGCGTCAACTGTAAGAATTCCATTCAGATGACAGATTTTCAGTTCTTACTAAGATTTTCAGTGTGCTTATAATGTTACTAGGCAATGTTCTTCTCGGTTACTGTAAAAGCAGAAGAAACATTGTACCTATGTACTCATTAAAGATAAAAGAAATGCCTTAACTTTTTGACTTTCTTGTCTCACAAAGATTGATACAGGACTTTTTATCTACTCAACAAAATATGAGTGAAACCTTGTTTACACAGAGAGTACAATATACCTGCACATAAAATATGGGATTATAATGAGAATGTGTTTTCTGTTTCCGTGAGGTGCATGTTGATATACATGTATTTACTTTTGCATTAGAGGAACATACATATTTCTTTCACATGAAACTGTCCCACTTCTGCTTCATTATCCTTTATAGATCGTCATATGAATTTAAATACAGGAACAGGGCTTCACTTGCTACAGTACTCTTCCTCTATAATATATACTGGAGGGCATATATACAGTACTCTTCCTCTATAATATATACTGGAGGGCATATATATATATATATATGCCCTCCAGTACCCCTCCACTATTATATCTATTGTGCCCAAAGAGGCAGAAATTCACAAGGAAAAACAGATGGGTACCCAAAAGTAAAGCATTATTTAATGAATGCAATGTTATTTCAGCTTCATTTTAATCGAATATTTTCAGTCAGCATAAATAGTAGTAATATTGGTTGATTAAAGTGGGGCTAAACCTCTCTATGACCACCGCATGGCTCGAGTCGCCATGAGCTGATTGTTTCCGTCTATGGAAAAAGTTCTTTATTTCAATCAACTCTGGTCTCACAAAATGTGAGAGTTCACCTGTAACTAGTCAGCACAATTGCTCTGTGTATGATACTGTTTGCACACAAAAAACAGTGTCAGTGTAATATACTTATGACACATGTATGACAGCTGACACTTATTTATAAATGTATGGCATCCTTCACATCAACACCATCATGAGATTCTCCGCATCTTCAATACAACATGAATTTTAGATGGTACAATAAAAATCAATTTCCTGGCTCAAGAAAAACTAAATAAGTAGACATTCAGTCATAAACCAGCTGACCAAAGATCTCAAATGGGCAAAACCAAATTGGCAAAATAAAGTTGAAAGAAGAAAACTAGAGTAGGTTTAATGGAGCAAAAAAACCTGTACAGAAATATGATCGTTTTCAACACAGAATTTATAAAGCTTCTAGTATATGATAGTCTCGAGTATAATAAATAATGACGAAAAAACAAGTCTCGATTTGTAAAATATGGCATCGTCACTCTTTTCAAAAGAAAAATGTTGATCAAGTTCACAAATACTGAATCAGGGATTAAAACCATGGTCACGTGTATCTCAATCCAGCAAGGTAAAACTCACACTCAAGAAGAATTTACTTTCCACATCAGTGAAAAAAGAACTTGCACTGTTCGACCTAAATTCTAGACAGAATCAAAATTCATGCTCTACTCTCACTGATAGCTTCACTCTAACTCAGATCAAACAAAGGGAGTTTAAACATCTTCAAACATCTGTTTCCTAGCTATTGAATACCCATGTCAACATCAATTTTATCAAAAGTAGCTGCGTCGTATAAATCACTGGCACAATAGTGATAGAGGGTGTCATAGTATAACAAGATCAAGCTTGCTAAATTTATCTACTCAGGACGTTGATCTAAATGGCTTTTGCACAATGTAAGTCAGTTATGTTGCAAAGACCAAAAAGAATGGTAACGGAAAAGGTACTTGCTTTACACACGCACAACTGAATAATCTGGGCTAACCATCATCCTTGACTGACCTTAACAGTTGCCATGGTGACCACCAGCTGGACAAAAAAGATTGCGTAGAGTCGCTGCCCATTTGGTGTGCAATGCAACGCGTAAAGGTTAGCACAAAATCTGAACTCAATGAAGCCTTGCCATTTATAGCAAGCAGGAAGGTGATTTTGGGATTATTTCATAGGGTTTTTTTTAATCAGCTCGATAAGACAAGGAAATGAGAACTGGCACAAGTTGTTGTTTTTTAAAAAAAGGTAAACTGACCCCTGTATATTGGGATCATGAATCTTTGGGTTAAATTGTCAACACAACCACTGCAAATTATGTCACAAATAACAGTAACAATATATTTTTAATGATAAATTACTACCCTAGAATAACAAAGATCAATCTGCTCAGTACCTCGTTTTGAGAAATTTGGAGTAAAAAATGTTGAGTTCCACAATATTATGTCATACTTTTTAGAATGCAGCTCTTTGAATATCTTGATAACGACTGTGAATAATCTTATGATTATGATAGAGAAGATAGAACATTTGGCTTTCGATCTCATGGTTTTAGTAACTCAAAACAAACGAAAATGAGAAAGAACTTTGTAATTCTAAGGTAGTGATATATATTGGAGTCACAGTTCTGTGAGAAAACCACTGCAAATCATGTCACAAATAACAGTAACAATATATATGACAATAACAAATAGCACCCCTCTTTTCATATAACAATATAATCACTTCCTCGGAACATGATTTCAATTGTGATAAAATAATACCACAATAATAACCATTGCAACAACAGTTTGAGTTTAAGGTTTGAGTCTGAGTAAAGAGAAGCACATGGACACAATAACGGTCATATATGTGAAGCGTGCTGACAAAATGAGTTACTTCTCGGATTCGGGCCCTACGGAAACAGATACATCACACTTATACTTATACGTGAATTTTTACAATTTAAAAGCATACTTTACTTATTTTACTTTGCTTTTCCGATCCAGCAGCCATTTGGGTTCTAACCCTTCTAGCATGAAATAATAAAAGGCATGATATTCTTAAAGAATATGGCATCAAACGCAAATTTGACCCTAGTGTTGCTTTTTGGCCAATATCTCCACTTGTGGATAGCGAAAAGTAACTCATTTTGTCAGCACGCCTCACATAGAGAGCAGGAAAGAAAAACAACAAATAGACTGAAACAATAGAGGGAAAGAAAAGAAGTAGAGGACCTACCAGTGGTGACAACAAGAATAACACTGAAACAGCAATAACAACAGTTAAAATGACAATGACATCATAGCAATAATAATAGTATTAGTAATAATAATAATAATAATAATAATAATAATAATAACAATAACAACACATCATAGTTAAAATAATAGTAATAATAGTAATAATTATAATAATTATAATAATAATAATAATAATAATAATAATATTCTTATAATGGAGCTAAGCCCGTTTGTGGGGTCAGTAAAAACTTTTTTCACAGGTGCCCACAAAATCTACAAAAATATGATTCAGACAAGAATTGTTCGAAAGGGTTACGTGGGCATATTTTCAAAGTTCTGAAACTACCTTTTGATTTTTCAGGTTTGATGGTTTTTCCTGTAAATCAAAGCTCTCCTCAGATGTTTTCACTCTGCCCTTAGCCATTTCATATTTTACTGGGGACGACTTCCATTTCATATTGTGCTTCTTCGTACGTGTGAGTAGTTCGCAAGAACAGAAGTGCGGATAATAATAATCTTATTATCTATCTATACGTCTATTATATTATGTTTCGTAACTTGGAAAAACGTCGGGTGTCACTTTTCTCTCAAGATTTATTGCTCCATACCAGTAGAGTGTAAATACAGTAGGTCACTAACTTTCAGTTGATGTTAATGCACCATCATTCCTTTCATCGAAAGCGGACCCAGCTAGTAATAATAATAATAATAATAATAAAAATCATCAAAATAAGTTATAATGAGAAGAAAAAAATATTCCCATGCTGAAATGTTGTTGATCAGGCACGCCCTCTAAGCACCAGTGTCCAGGTCAATAGATCAGGGACTATTGTTCTCTTTTCCCCATTTTTTCTTCTTTTCAAGCTTCCTTTCAGTCTAGTCCAGTCTAGTTTCATTAATGATGATTCATTATAAATTAATGAGTGAGTTACGCCCCCATCGATACATTTTGGTTCCAGGGACAAAAGCAGCTGCTGATAAAAAAATAAACCCGAAAATTTTTAAGAGAGTAGGCATGGGTGGAAATAAACAGAAAAATTGAGCAATTTTACTTTTCGTTTTGGATGTAAGAATTAACGTTGAGCAAAGACATCATAAGTGTTTGGGACATTTTAAATCATACAATTTTACCTCTTTGCGCTAAACAAAAAGAATAAACAGTGAACAAACAGACAATATCACACATTGCGATCGGTCGCAAAATTTTCAAAAACATGATTTCAGGCTATAACAAGAAAACCTTTTTCCCTGTAGACGGAAATGGGCTGCTTCAACCGACCCCCGCCTGTCAGGGACCACCCAGACTGAATGAGATACAAAACTCAACACTCAGAACATGATACTTGGTAACAAAACTTCCCTAGTTGGGAATCCACTTCACGTTTTCTGTATGCAACAGTGCAAACTTTTACAAAATTACAGAATAAAATGGCATAATAATTACTCTAGACTAGAAGAACAATTGAGACAAATTTTTCACTCATCAATGACACCCTTACTAAGAATTATTATACCCCGACTGTGACCTACACCAAAACGACAAAGCAAGAAGTCAGTTGCAAAAATATACATGTCAGGACATGGTAGAAACAGGCGATCGTCAATTTTTTTGGGAATATGGAGTTGTTGGTATTACCGTACAGCCAGTTCATTTTGTTTTGCTTTTGATGAAAGAAATACTTTTATAGCATGAATAAAAGTCCAGATTATATGATTGAATGAGGTAGGGGTCAACTGGTGTCAAAGGTAAAATTAGTGATGATATGGCAGTCAAAGTTTGGTGATTTCCAAAGCTTCACTTCACTGTCCTTGGAAACTGTAAAAATTTACATTTTTTGTACCATTCACCAATCCTTTTCAGTATAATCCACGCAGAAAACTGTTTTTAAATGGACGTAAGATGTGTTGAGCCCCCCAAAAAAAATTAATTTAAAATGCCAAATGAGCGTAGATTTCTCAGTTTGTTAGATTTCATTATTTTGACGGGCGCCTGATTTCACCACAATGCCACACGTATATATATAGATAAATGATGATGCAAGCAGACTGAGCTCACTACGGACACGCAGTTTCCTCCAGCCAAGTGCGTAGCTTGGTTATCTGCCCCTCCACACTGGGCCGGGCAGTGCCACCTTGAGCTTTGTACTGCTCCACCGACGTGTTGTAGTCCCACACTTGGGTGATGTCCTCATCAAACAGGGGACTGTCGCAGAAGACAACGAAGAATAAGATTAATATATTATGACATTAGTAAAACTGCAGAAAGGAGTGGGATGAGAGAGAGAGAGAGAGAGAGAGAGAGAGAGAGAGAGAGAGAGAGGGGGGGGGGGGGAGGGGGAGCAGTGGCAGGATCACAATGTCTTCCTCAAACAGGAAACTGACACAGAAGATGACGAACAATAAGACTACGTAATCGTGATAGGGCCTACTAGTAAAACAGCAGAGAGATGGAGCTTTAGTAAAATCTTATGGCACTTGCAACACAATTAGATCAGGGAAGTGCCAAAAATTAGGGGTGTTACAAGAAAGTAACAAACACAAATAAGAAGTAGGAGAGATAAGGACGATAGAGATGTTCGATAGAAAAGATGAAGCAAACCACACTAAAGCACCCACCAACCACCCACTACCTCGAGATCAGGGGTGTGAAGGGAGAAGGAGATTGAGTTAACAAATACAGTAGAAACCTGTTATAACAGGGATGCACAGGGATGGTAGGACCAGAGAAAAAGTGCTGTTTTATCAGATCCCTGTTAAATCAGAAATATAAGGGAAGTAAGCATTTATAGACTAATCCAGCTGTATTTATTCATGGGTAGTTTCCCTTGCCCCAAGTACCCACGAACACAGGTTTTTATGCATGTGTGTAGCTAGGCTTAAGGCTAGATTGATGTTTACAGCACACCGCAGCCCTGTCTTGCTTCACCTGCTGCATGTGCTTGCAGTGGCGTGGCTTGCATGGCCTTGCTCTCTCTCTCTCTCTCTCTCTCTCTCTCTCTCTCTCTCTCTCTCTCTCTCTCTCTCTCTCTCTCTCTCTCTCTCTCTCTCTATCTCTCTCTCTCTCTCTCTCTCTCTCTCTCTCAACATTGTTAACGAGCCTTTGTCTCTGTTATAACCGATTCGACTCCGATGAAGCCCTGTTATTGCCGATAACTTTTAATAGAGACAAAGAGTAGGAAAAAACGGGGATTTAAAAAATCCCTGTTATTACCAGATCCCTGTTTTTACCGGGCCTGTTATATATGGTTTCCACTGTATTCACTGACAAAACAGGCAGAGTTCTCTCTACGAATCTTCACCTGACACTGTGAAAGTCTTTGTGAGACAGCTGGGACACCTGGACTCCGTTCTTCTCTGCCAGAGCCACACACAGGCCCGCCATACCGTGAGCCTCTCGGAAGGGAAGCTGAAGTTGAGAGAGAGAGGAGAAACAGGGTGTGAGTGTGTGTGAGTGTGTGTGTGTGTGTGTGAGTGTGTGTGTGTGAGTGTGTGTATGTGTGTGTGTGTGTTTGTATAAAATTGAATGTGTGTGTGTGAGTGAGTGAGTGTGTGCGTGTGTGTGTGAGTTTCTATGAGCGTGTGCGTATGTGTGAGTGTACCTGTGTGTATGTGTGTGCATGTGTGAGTGTGCAAGAGCCACACACAGACCGGCCATACCGTGAGCCTCTCGGAAGGGAAGCTGAAGTTAAGAGAGAGAGGAGAAAAAGGGTGTGAGTGAGTGAGAGTGTATGTGAGTGAGTGTGTGTGTGTGTCTGTGTCTGTGTCTGTGTGTGAGTGTGCGTGTGCGTGTGCGTGTGCGTGTGCGTGTGCGTGTGTGTGTGTGTGTGTGTGCGTGAGTGTGTGTGTGTGTGCATGTATGGTGGGGGTCGGGAAGGGGTTCCAAAAATATAAATTTATGGCATAAATGTAGAAGAGAACAGTGCTGCCAATATAAAGAAAATAGTGGTCCCGTCCGAAAATGGTATATTGTGCTCACCTTTATATATGTCATGACATGGTGGAATCAGGCGCTCCTTAATTCTTGTGCATTTGAAGTAACTAATATCATTTTAAAGTTTGTTCATTTTCCTTGCTTTCAATGAAAAAAATACCAATCTATCTTGAATAGCAGTCGAGACATTTGTTACTAAAAGAGGTAGGGGTCCCCTGGTTTCAGATATAAAATTAGCAAGTAAATGGCCGCCCAAGTTTGGTGAATTCCGTAGCTTGAGCATCTTTGAAAATTGAAAATATATGCTTTTGTGCCTTTGATCAACATTTTTCAGTACAATCCACACAGAAATGTGTTTTTAAAAGGACATCAAAAGTGTTGAACCAAAAAAATAAATTCCACAAAAATTGCCAAACTGGTGGAAAAAATGTTGATTTCTTTTATTTCATTATTTTTTAAAGAGCATCTGATTTCACAACACTGCCTCATATATGAGCCCAGGTCAAAAGGTGACCTTGACTTAGTGGCATACTTTAAATAGTCACTTTTTTTTTTTTATTGCATTTTCTGGCAAAACATAGATGAATTAGCTAGAGAAATGGACAAAGAGATAGCCAGAGATAGCTTGTTGATTATAAACAGGTTTCAAATATTCTGTAACAAAAAAAGTTTCGGTCGACTGCATACGAGGTGCAATACACTATTTCAGATAGTGCCCTAACTAGAACCATCATAACTTAGACATGTTTAAGCGTCTGCACATGAAAATTTGCCTAAGGGTTATTTAGACCCTAAATTAGCTTCCCATAAACTTCAAAATCATCCCAGGGTTATGTATTTTAAGCAAATACAGTCTGAAATATGGTTATCCCATGTGACACACCTTGTCATCATCAGAGTCCTAGTTTTTTATAATTTTTAAAGTAAAACGAACAAGGGTATGGAGAATGTAAACGCCTTACTAAAAAAATATATTTATTTGATTTGTAAAAACGATGGTCAAAGTAGGCTATACTCAGGAAAATATTCAAAATGAGCTCTGTCAGACTACAAATACCAACACAGCAGATACAAGTAGACAGCATATATATATAAGTAAGTCAACCTACCCCTTTCCTGACCAAGTAGTAAGCAATGTCAGTGGCTAGCATGTCAGGACTGAGAGCCTTGCTCATGTTCTCCTTATGGATCTGAAAAAAAAGGGGAAAAAATGTTCATACAAATCCTTATCCTGTAACTTCAGATATGTTCACAATATTGTTAGTCTGAGAGACTGGTTTGATTTTTTTTTAATGCTCCATACACAATGTAGTTAGGAAGCAGGCTTCTGACTCTGCTTCTCTTGTCAAATCTGCGCAGATAAGATTTTCATACAAATCCTTATCCTGTAACTTCAGATATGTTCTCAATATTGTTAGTCTGAGAGACTGGTTCGATTATTTTTTTTAACGCTCTAATGTAGTTACACAATGTAGTTAGGAAGCAGGCTTCTGACTCTGCCTCTCTGGTCAAATCTGCTCAGATAAGATACAACATCCCAGCAGAAAGACCAAGATACCCAATAAAAATTTCTCCCCATTTGAGAATCCTATTCAGGTCTCTTGCATGCAACAGCAAAACACCTAACTGCTTCACCACAGACTTTGGTAATCTGGTGTGATTCCGCAACGCTAGACAGACAGAAAAGAGTTGGCTCTAGTAGAGCGAAGAGTCTCATTTGCCTCATTCATAGCTCCTTCATGATGTTGTCTCGACAGGCCAATTCTATTTTACAAGAGATTTTCTCATTGCGCAAATCGAGCTAAACATAATTTCAGCTGTCCCAAGTTGTTAAAACTGCACGGATAAAGGTACAAGTAAGATATAAAGTCCCAAAAGATAGGTACAATAACCATGAGAAAAGTGCAGGTACAGGACCCCTCAAAATAATTCTGGTGATACAAAATAGGATAGACTGAAAAATAGACGAAATCAATCATATTTATGAAATTTAAAAAAGAAGAAAAGGAAAAATAAGAAAATTTTGGCAAATAAAATGCTCACATATATATTTCCACAACATTTCTATTTACATATTTTCTCTTGACTAGTAAATCCAAACATTAAATGTTCTTTCATCAAACAAAGACTGAACAAGTTTCACAAAGATTAATTCTCTGTTTTGAAAACCAGTAGTCGTCAACATGTTATGGTGATAACTTTTGCGCTAACGTGAATTATGAAAAGATTTAGAGAAAATGAAAAAGTAAGACAAAAAATTTTTGAAATTGGCCTGAAAAATCCTATGCACCATTCAAAACAACTTTTACCAGAATCTGAGGACAGCACCAACATTCACAAAATACTGACAAAATATTCTTTCCAGTGTATTACGTTGTCATCAACATGGGTGGACCAATGAGAAACTAAACTCACAGTTTTCAAATATTCGTTGTTGTTTTTTTTTTAAATCTGAACATGAGTCCACCAAATTAGAGCAAACACTTTAAGTTTTACAAAAATGTAATTTCTTTCTTATTACCTTTCAGAGTTGTTCAAACTCAAATATTGAGTAGAGTTCTTTTTACTTAGTTGTACAATAAATCTAGGTGTTTTTAAGCCCCCATCGACATAACTTTAGATCTTTCAGGAGACAGGTTCTGACCCTGCCTCTCAGAGCCAGCCCAGGCTGAGAGCAAGGCAAAATCCCAGCAGAAAGACCGAGACACTCGATAAAAATTTTCCCCACTCCGGAATCAAACTTGCATCTCCTATACGACCGCAAAACGCTAACTGCTACACCACAGACTGGGATTACAGGACTTACAACACAATCTGAGACAAAAAAGTGTTTTACCTAATTTGGCGAACACACGTTTAGAGTCAGACACTGACAATATGTATGTGTGCCTGACAAAAAGGCTTACATGTCTGCAATTTGTTTAAACAGACACAAAAGCAATTTCAAAGAGAATTTTCAATTTTGAACCCACTGGTTTTTACATTTCTCAAATATTTTGAATACCGTTGGAAGCATTTGAGGCTTTTTTTGCGTGTTTTTTGTAAGTGTTTTACGTCGCTCACAACTGCATAAGGTATGAGTGCGCGGGACACATTAAACATTTTCAATTGGTAGAAAATTTTGAATTTAGCCCGAATGGCCGTCGAAGCCTACTCTTATTGATTTTAGACCACCAAGGGATCTTTCACGAGCGCAACTTGCACACCGGATCTCCAAGATTTTTCGCCCTTGTCCGAGAAGGCTAGGTGTAAATCTTTCCTACCAGAAGATCAGGGGTGTTTCAGAAAGACAGAAGTAAGAAGGAGCCAAGGAGTAGCAGTAGAAAGGCTGCAGAAAGAGTCAGGAACCCAGAGGAGGGGGCAAAAGGGGTGAGGGCAGAAAGTGGAGACGAAAGCAGACAACAGAACATTGCAAGAGAGCAGGAAAGAAGATGAAGGAGACCATTTTTAGAGAAAAAAGTTTTCCGGTCGCTACCCAGATTCGAACCCGGGACCTTTGAATGAGAGGCGAACACCTTCACCTGTAGGCCACGAAAGCCCCCTTTCATGCTTTGTAAGACAAAATACCTGAATAGATTTTTTAGAAAAACAGCTTTAAAGTTAAATGAATTTATAGTTTTCAAAAATCCACAAAACATGTGATTTTCCCTGGATAGACTTGTATTATTTGATATATAATGCACTAAACAGTTTTTAAAAAACCCAAAAAAACCATCGGTAAATGTACAGTTTAGAATAAAAATTGGGTAAAAATCTGTTGGAAAGCAAAACTGATGTGATACACAAAGAATTAGGTCAAACTTGATATAAACCTGATTTTCTGCTATGTCTACCCTCGATATGCACCAACTGAGCTATAGGCATGTATATAAGCACCTGTATTTATTCATGCACACTACAATTCATGGTGCAAGGAAGATAATGATACAATTTTATAATATATATATAACTTCAACAGCTTTGAGTGGAATTTGAACCGACCAGACTGTGTCAAATAATGATTCAAAAGCAAGTCTATTTGAGAGCTTAAATGAACCCAGAGAAAATTGGGGAGGAGGGGGGGGGGGTGTTCAGATTTGCTCACATGACACCCTTAAAATACAACAATCTTTATACTACTTACATACAAAATTCAGCTAAACGAAATTCTTTTGGGATGTGACTTAGGAATGGTTAAATGTTGATCTTCTGGTGGAACAATATTTTTTTACCTGTGATCACTTTAACACTTTTAAAGGTTGAGATAGACTTCGCTGACAGATGGGGCCTTTGTCCACAGACACACACACACATACACACACACACACACACACACACACACACACACACGCGCCAAAGCACACAGCTTCATGAATGATCATAACCTTTATATTTTATATAAGAAAAAGGGAGTGTACAAAAATATATATATATTTTTATATATATATATATATATATATATATATATATATATATATATATATATATGACCAGCATGCTAAAAACGAACCATAGGTGGACAAATTCAATATCACACGTTGGATTATAAGCTGTGCTTTCACTGGACAAAGTGTGCTGTGCAGAATAAAGTCCATTTTAATTAAGAAAAACAACACTCCAGGATTGTTCACAAGAGCAGATCCAGTAACGGCATCTACATTGTTAGTCGTGCCTACTGTGGTTAATCTACAACAGTGTAATACATACTGGTAAATCTACAACTGTGTATATTACTCTAGTTCATCTACAACTATACATATATACTATGGTAAACCTACAATTGTGTATATTAATCTAGTTAATCTACAACTATACATATATACTATGGTAAATCTACAACAAGGTACATATATAAAAAGGACACAAATGAAAAACAAGAGATGTCGATTTTTGGTTAATTTGAGTTGATCCATGGGCTGGAAGGTGTTTATAGCACTTCCAGTGGCTCATCGAAGTAAAGTGTCTGGGGATAAAACCTGACGAGTCGCTCAATACCAGGCTTGGAAAATACATGGGCTGTCCAGCATTTCATTTGTGTTTCCCTCAAAATGCCAAAAAGTCACATCTCGGGTATTTCTTCTGTGCTCTTCATATATCTATATATATATAAATCATGCACACTACGTACAATAATACTCACCACTGTGGTCCAAAATCAGTCTAAGGACCAATAACAGCACTTAAATATCTTTACACCTTATAAATGCTGACAAAAACATAAAAACAAAAGCAAATGCATCGGAAATACCTACGTATATGATCTTCTACCAGAAATACATCACTGTGAAGTCATATATAAAAGACAGTCCTATAAAGGGTGATAACCATTCCAACATTTTACTCTTGGAATAATATCTTAAAAGTGCAAACAAAGAATATTTCAAAAAATATTTCTGACCATACGTCAGCATTTTTGTGAGCACCAACGTATAAGCCCATAAAGTATACAAATCTTGACCCAACATAGCATTTATATCAGGTTTGAGACATGAGCTCATATTAATTTCTAGGATTCTACATTCAAATCGAAAAAATCAAAAGACATTCTGTGTATATGCACTGCGCACATGTAAAGTTGTTTATTTACCCATACTCATAATCTTCTTCAATTTTCTATAAACAGTAAAACAAAAATGCTCTAGTTCCGCATTATCTAAGGATCGCAAATACAAGTTTTGATATAGGCCTACATTAGGAGTTTTTTATTTGTAAGTCCACAAAACAGATGGTCTTGTTTCAAAGAGTTCAAATTTTTTGTAAACTGTACCAAATATAGTTTAAAATGTTCTGAATTTTCAATTTTACATTGATTTGCAGGCTATCACTTCTGTAATTAAACAGCCCGTTTTGTGCTCAAATGAAAATTATTACATTAAGCCAGTACATGTAATTCTCAAAACCTGATCTACACATTATGGCCATTTAGCCTTTATTTTGAACAGAAACAACCACTTTAATGAAGACTTAAAGAACATGTTTTCCAAGAGCCTAAGAAATGTTACATAGACTAAAGAAGCAAAGCATAAAATAAATCAAAATTATAACAACTATGCTACCCGCCAATAAATTCTATCAAAAAGCAAAAAGGCTATATATAGCCTTTGGAAGAGAGGCACTACGTGACTAAATCATAAAAAAGCAATATCAGTATCTGTTTGTGGAGTTTAAAAAGTTAAAATGCCTTTGAGGCAATAGAAAAACAAGGACATTATAATGACAACTGGCACTAAACCTGACTAGCAACAGCATTGACTTCATACTACAACAGAGTAAAACAAAGACAATAGAAAAAAACAAGGACATTATAATGACAACTGGCACTAAACCTGACTAGCAACAGCATTGACTTCATACAACAGAGTAAAACAACGTTGACACATACATTACAGAGTAAAGCAACAACATGGCACATATAGTACAGGGCAAAATCACACTGGCACTTATAATACAACACGAAATAACATAGACATATGAGAGACATTGTGGTGAAATCAGGCGCTAGTCAAAATAATGAAATTGAAGAAAACACAATTTTTCTGTCGAGTTGGTAATTTTCATTGAATTTTTGTTTTTTGACTCAACGTCTTTTATGTCCACTTAAAAATCCATTTCTGTGCAGATTTTACGTAAACATATTGACAAAAGGCACAAAAATTGTAAATTTTCAGTTTCCAAGGACTCTAAAACTATGGAAATTACCCAACTTGACGAGCGCCTGATTTCACCGCAACCTGACACATATATTTACTACAACATAATACAACACTGACAGCACAAAGCAATATGTGGTACGACGCAGTGGAATCAGGCGCTCGTCAATTTTTGGACATGTGGATGTATTGGTATATTCTGAAAGCTGTTTCATTTGCCTTGCTTCTAATCAATGTTTTTCAATAAAATTCACATGGAAATGTGTTTTTATATGGACATAAAAAATAAAAATTCGATAAAATCTTCCAAACTTGCAGTAAAATGCCTTTTTCTCTGATTTCATTATTTTGATGAGCGCCTGATTTCACCAGCACAAAACAACATTGGCATGCATACATAAAAACTAGAGATAAAAAACATGTACTACAACGCAAAAAATAATTGGCACATATATACCACAACACAAAACAACACTGCCACATATACTACAAGGCAAAGCAACATTGGCACATTTACTACATTTAAAAAACAACAAGAGAAAATATACATCAGAGTATCGCAACAAAACTACTTATCCTACAAAATCCTACCTGCAATGTTGAAAGAACTCCAGTGGCAACTTGGAGTATGGCCACCAAAGTGTCATATGACTCAAACATGGCCTCTTTGTCTTCCTGAATAAAGAGTAAGAAAACACACTGATGACAACACACCAACCATCTTAGAAATAATCAGAACATGCCGTGGACAATTTTAGTAAAACAGATAAAGTTCACAATGAGTCTTCAACAAAATTTCAGAAGTGATGTTAAAATACCGTTTCTGCAAATAAGCTGGGAATGTTATTTACATGAACTGGCTCTTCTTTTCCAATATCATGAAAATATATATTGTACATGCCATAAGCCAAACATAAAAAGTAAAGGTTAAGATCATTCAGGAAGCTGGCTGCTTTGACCCTACCCATCAAGACCAACCAAGACTGAGAGACATACAACGTTTCAGCAGACAGATGGAGACACTCGACATGTCTTTTGCGTGCAACACCTAACATCGCAGAAGATGGTTGCCCAATATCAGAAGTTTGAATTAAGTAACTTTGAATGAATAACAGTACCTATATACATTTTTGCTTTTTTAAATAAAATCTTTGAAAAACCTAATGACATAAAAGTTCAAGCATGTTGTGACATAAAGTGCTTCCATATTTTGGGTTGCCAAATTTACCTGCTTATCTATCTTCTCTTATATCAGTAACGAAAAATGGAGGCACAAGCTTAATTTCAAAATTTCTGAGCATGACATAGCAAATTTAACAGATTAACACAGCAATGAACACAAAAGCAAAATAACAAAAAGTAAGTAATAACATTGACACAAAAATAATAAAAAGGCCTCCCCTCAAATCTTAGCACACAGCTTTGCACAAAAGCAATATTCAAATCAAAACATGATGCAAAGTCAAATGATGGTGGCACAATCCTTACTCCATTGTCGACAAGCTGTTCAACTGTTTTAAGCCCAGAAAGCAAACTTTTTCAGGATGGGAGAAAAAACTGATTCATTCTTTTAGAAATTGTACCAACCTGAAGATCTTTGTTGTAAGTACTGGGGGTGCCTTTCAGCGTCATCATGAAAGCTGTACACTGCCAAACAGAGAAGACAGAGATTATCAATAATATGATTATAAATGTTTTACTACCATACTGATGGTTAGGTTCTCGGACTCGCAACCGTAAGGCCGTGGGTTCGAATCCCGTCAGGGGCTCGATGTTGTGTTTTTGGGAAAGGCACTTTACACAAATTTTCCTCACTTCACCCAGGTGGGAATGGGTACCCGGCTATAGACAGCGAAAGATCTTGTCAGTTTGAGCGCTTAATCAGCTGCTTGCACTGTATGCTTCCCGGGAAGCTGAAAATGTTTCGGAGTGTTCTGTGGTCTGCTGGGGTAATAATATATTGCAAAGCGCATAGACCCTGCTGTTGAGCAGGGATATGCGCTATACAAATGCTATTTATTAATTTGACTAAGATCATTAAGGCCTTTCAGGGCCAACCCAAGCTGGGTGGGTTACAACAGCATGCCAGAAGACTGACAGCTAGGAAAAAAAAAAACTTCCCATATGAGAATGGAACTTGTATCTTCAGCGTGCAGTGGAAAAAATCTTAATCATTACCCCACAGAATTATTTTACTTTAGTTTAGTTTTAAGAACAGTTTTACCGCCCCGGCAACATAAATAGGTACATGTAACTGCCAAAGATTTGAGGTGTTACTACAGAGTAAAATACAAAGAGAAGAAGGAGGGGAGATATATACGATAGATGTTTGATAGGAATGAAGGAGCAAACCACATCAGAACACCCATCAACCACCCCTGCACACCACAGAATGTTGATAGGGAAAGAGAGGAACATTTATAGAAAATACAAACATTGGTTGAAGATTTAAAACCTTACTTGTTGTGTGTAAAATAATTCTTCCAATCACAGAAATAAAGAATACATGAATTTCCCACACCAATTTTTTAAACTATTTTTTTCACCACATATTGTGTCATGAAAACAAAATTTCCTGAACAGATAAAAATAATAATAATAATAATAATAATAATAATAATAATAATAATAATAATAATAATAATAATAATAATAATAATAACTGCACTTATAGCTTATATCCATGCTCTACAGAATGCTCTATTCACTTTACAACTATTCTAGCCGAGCAGACCCTGGACAATCAGAAACATTCTTGGCTTCCTGGGAAGCATACAGTGCAAGCTGCAAGTTAAATGTGCTGAAATACTAACAAACTGACAAGATCTTTTGCCGTGTATCCAATCTCATCTGTGTGAGGTGACGAAAATTTGTATAAATTGCCTTCTCCACAGACACGTCAGACTGCTGACAGGGTTTGAACCCACAATTATACGGATGACAGTCTGAGAGCCTATCCACTAAAACAACAATGCCACCAACCTAGAAATAATTGTTATATACATGTGATTTGCACTATCCAAAAACCCCGTTCTTTCATCAAGAGTGTGAGATCGTGACAATAATAATGTTTACATCTAACGTTATCATATATGTGAGGCAGCGTGATGGAATCAGGCTCTCGTCAATTGTTGGGCAAGTTGAGTTATTTGTATAATCTTAAAGCTTGCTCACTTGTCTTTTTTTTATGGAAAAAATATCCATTTATCTTGAATACAAGTCGAGATGTTTGCGAATGAAGGAGGTTGGAGCACCTGTTTTCAGAGGAAAAATTTGTGAGAAAATGGCCGCCAAAGATTAGTTATTTCCTTAGCTTAAGAGTCCGTGGTAACTGAAAATTTACATTTTTTGTGCCTTTAATCAACGTTTTTCCTAAAAATTTTCACAGAAATGAGTTCTTTTATAGGCATGAAAGGTGTTGAGCCAAAAAACAAAAATTTGATAAAAATTCATAAACCTGCGGGGAAAATGCAAGTTTCTTCACTTTGATTATTTGGACGAAAGCCTGATTCCACCACGCTGCCTCACATATATATAACAAAAGCAGTTGAGGTTCATGTTCCTTACGCGTCCATAGAGTCTCCCAGCCCGGCCTCGGATCAACTCCAGACTGTCACTGTTCTTTTTCTGGGGCATCAAACTGCTTCCCGTGCTGCACACAGGAGACAAACAAACAAATAAAAACAAAGTTAAAAAATCAATCAGGCAGTCAATCAATCAATCAATCATAATTTTCTCATCCCTGTGGGGAAATTTTGTTACGATGGCAAACATACATACAAAAATACATCATTAAACATAAAAATATATAGTATATTTTAGACCGACTCTGGGATGGATCCTGAAGAGGGGGGAGGGAGAGCAGAGATAGACATGTTCCGACTGCAGTGACCCCAACACAGTGGACAAGTAAGACAAGTAAGATATACGTACAAAGAATACCAAATATACACTATTACACCAATGCAGATCAATTTCACAAACATGCCATTGCTGGCCACAACTGTGCAGCGCCCTGTTTTTTGTGGGGAGGGGGGGTTAGTAAGGGTTAAGATGTCTTGCTCAAGGACACACCCCAGTGACCACGCATCTAATCCCCATGTCACCAACACTGGCTTGACATTACGTTTGAGTCTGAACTCACTGCTCACTCAGCCACAGGAGCCCCCGCCCACATTCAGTTTCATCACATTCATAATTTGATTAAGGGCGTCATATAAAAACAACAAAACGTTTTAAACCACTAGCTGCCCTTTCTTATCATAACCAATCCACAGCAACATCTCGACTAGGGTGGGAACAAATTAAACTCTTTGTCTGACCACAGTGCAAGATCTTCTGCAAAGCACAAGGGGCAACTAAAGAAACCACAGCTTTTCTACTGTATTAGTAAGTATTTTACAGCACCTGCAATACAATTAGGTCATATAAGTACCGAAGATTAGATGTGCTTCAGAAAAAAAAAACAATGCAAAAAAAGGGAGGAAAGATAAGGAGGATAGATATTTGACAGGAAAGAAGGAGCAAACCACACACCAGAACACCCGTAAACCTACCACAACCACTGTTACTCCACAACACTATCTTACCTGTAGGCATCAGAGAGAGTGACAAAACTAAACTCTTTGCTGGAATACAACACAAGGTCCTCAGCCCAGCGACTCAGATGAACTCCAAGCAAAGACGCCCAGAACAGAAATTCAGCTGCCAAACAACAAAACAGAAGAAAAAGATTATTATGTGCGACAATGTACAAGTAATCACTACTATGTATAAATGTATACCCTTAATCAGCCCAATCATGTGAGAACATACATTTTTTAAAACAAAAAAAACAATGAAATCATCCAAAATGCATTTCAAATGAATAGTTTGATTATGAAGAGAGTCTGAATGAGATAAGCAAAGATAAGTCTTTATGCAAATAAAACGAAATAAAAGTTGTCCAAGTAGTAATACTTTAGGTTCATTATGTGTATATATGTTTAAGAGGGGAAAGTAATTGAGTGGGTTGTTACAGGTCAATTAATAATAATAATAATAATAATTGCATTTATATAGCGCATATCCATGCTCAAGAGCATGCTCTATGCGCTTTACAACTATCATTACCCCAGCAGACCCTCTGAGAACACTCGGAAACATCCTCGGCTTCCGCGGAAGCATACAGTGCAAGCTGCGGATTTCACGCGCTCAAACACTATCAAACTGACAAGATCATTCACTGTCTATAGCCGGGTACCCATTTCCACCTGGGTGAAGTGAGGAAAATTTGTGCAAAGTGCCTTTCCCAAGGACACAACGTCGGGCCCCTGGCGGGATTCGAACCCACGACCTTACAGTGGGGAATCCAAGAGCCTAACCACTAGGCCACCGACGCCAATTCATGTAAGAGCAATAGTTGTAGTTTTATTTTCCCCTTAATTTTCTAACTATAACAAAGAATGTAGTTCACCAATAACTAATTAGAACTAACAGTCCTACAAAAACAAAAACCTTTTCAAATTAGACTGCTGACTAAGAATACTGCATTTTCGTCTCTATCCAATTTCATTCTGTTTTTGTAAGCGTTTCACGACACTTGCAACACAATTACATCACAAAAGTGCAGAGGATAAGAGGTGTTACTAGAGAGTAACAAGCACAAAATAGAAGGAGGAGATATAAAGACCATAGATGTTGGATAACTTAGGAGCAAACCATACCAGAGCATCCGCCAACCACCCACTATATCAAAGTTTATTTTTTAAATTGTTTTGGGTAAGTGGTTTACGGTGCTCGCAACAGCATAAGGTTATAAGAGAGTGCAGGACACACAAAACATTTTTCAGTTGGTAGGAAAATTTGAATTATGTCTGGGTGGCGAAGCCTACTCTTATCGATTTTGGATCACCAAGGGATCTTTAACGTGCACAACTTGCACATGGGACCTTCTAAATTTTTTCACCCTTGTCCGAGAAAGCTATGTGTAGATCTTACCTACCATAGGATCAGGGGTGTGACTGAAGGACAGCAGTAAGAAGGAACTAAGGATAAGCAGTAGAAAGGCTGCAGAAAGAGTCAAGAGCCCAAAGGAGGTGAGGGGGTGGGGCAGAAAGCGGAGATGAAGCAGACGACAGAACATTGTTAGAGAGCAGGAAATGATATGAAAGGAGAAAACCTGAGAGAAGAAAACTTTGTGTCACTATCCAGTTTCGAACCCGGGACCTTTTGAATGAGAGGCGAACACTTTAAGCTCTAAGCCACGAGAGCCCCCAAATCCAACTTTGTTAACAAAGGGCATATAAAAAAAAGACGTATAAAATATTTTTTTATTTCTTTTATCTTATTACACAAAAAAACTAAAGTGCCAAATGATCTCACCGACAAAATCTCTGTCACTGACAGCATCTAGACTGTTTAAGGAAATCCTCTCCAGATGAAGCTCTGATGAAAGAGATAAACAGAGAACAGATCAAATCACAGACAAGATAATATGACGACACACATTGCCAAAATAAACTAAGCGACATCACCTCAGATCTTTTCTCTAAATCATTCTCAAGAATAAAATCCAAAACAAAGCATGTAATAGAGGCTTCAGCATAGTTTTGTTTAAATTGCCTTCACACTGAAAACCTTTTATCAATTACTACAAGCAATGCATATTCACAAATAACCTGCGACATCAGTCAGGTCTAAAGAGACAAACTTGGCAATTACATTTTTCTACTTTAACTATATGTAATACCAGAACACACTTACCAGACCTTAAAAACTCCCTGTCCACATCAAAAGGGTTCCCAGCAAGAGCTCCACTGACAGAGAATAGAAAGAGGAAAAAAACATTGGAATCTCACAAGTTTCCTTTTTAATCAGAGTTGGAGCTTCAGAGCTTTTTCAACAAAAACCAAGGTCATTTGAGAGCTTGGAGCTAAAACAAAATTCCCATCTGTCAGTGCAATCTACCTGTGAGTAGTCCTTATAACATCTCGAGCAAGTGTTGATTTCACACCTTAACATAATGACTTAGATTTTCCTTCTTGTGAAACTGAGACTCTTCTTTCCATTGCCAGACACTCAAGGGTACAAACAAAGTGCTCCAATGATCAAACAGCAATGGGATAGAAATCTCCAACTGCAATATCTAGGAGGCAATAATGACGGTCAGCACTAAGCACAAGAGGCATGTTGAAACCTCTAAGGATGCCACAGATTCAAGATCACATCTAACCCATGCCCCTTCTCTGTCAGATTCAAACAAATCATGAATTAATTAAAAAATTGCACCACATCAAAAGTACGCCTTTTGCCATTAAACAAAGTCTATACACCGGCATCTGTGGTGTAGCAACTTGGTGCTTTGCTGTCACATACAGGTGACATGAGTTCAATTCCAGAGTGGGGAGAAAATTTCTATCGAGTATCTCAGTCTTTCTGCAGGGACCGTGTATCCTTCTTAGCCTGGGTTGACCCCGACAGGCAGGGTCTGAAGTCAGTCATCTAAATTATCTAAGTTGTGTTCTTGGAGCTACATTAGAGAGGAGAAAAAAAGGTTCATACATCTCAGTCCCAACATGGCCTAACTATAGTCCTTCCTGCAAAAGTAAGCAAAACAGCAGTCCAACAAGAGATATGCAATTTAAAAAACCTCCCCAACAGTGAACCTAACTCACTCTTCTATATGCAAAAGCAAAGAACCTTATCCTTACACCACAGATGCTAAATATTCAAACTTGCCAACTTTTTCAAAACCCAATCAGGGACACTCAATGTTATACAACAGATGACATAACAACGAACAAAATTACGTTGAATGAAAGCGTCTGGTCTGGCGTATGACATAATGAGGGCGACTAGGGTCCTTTCTTGATTTCTGAATCCGAGACATTCCTGGGATATTATGGGAAATTAGGGACAGTTGGCAAGCCTGATAATCATAGCATCACAGAACCAGATATCCTCCCATGGGAAATACAGTCGAAATTGTCAAAGACTGCCAGCAATTGTCAGGAGAAAAGTGGTTCTCTTATTGTTTGTTTTTGTAAAGTGTTTTACGGCGCTCGCAACTGCATAAGGTCATATGAGCGCGCGGGACACACCTAATGTTTTCAGTTGGTAGGAAATTTTGAATTTTGCCCGGGTGGCGGCCGAAGCCAACTCTTATCGATTTTAGACCACCAAGGGATCTTTAACGTGCGCAACTTGCACACGGGCCCTCCGAGATTTTTCGCCCTTGTCCGAGAAGGCTAGGTGTAGATCTTTCCTACCAGAAGATCAGGGGTGTGGCTGAAAGACAGCAGTAAGAAGAAGCGAAGGAGTAGCAGTAGAAAGGCTGCAGAAAGAATCAGGAGCCCAGAGGAAGGGGCAAAGGAGGTGAGGGAGTGGGGGCAGAAAGAGGAGACGAAAGCAGACGACAGAACATTGCTAGAGAGCAGGAAATGAGGTGAAAGGAGACAAATTTATAGAAAAAAAATTTTCGGTCGCTACCCGGATTCGAACCCGGGACCTTTTGATTGAGAGGCCAACACCTTAACCTCTAGGCCACGAGAGCCCCCGTTGTTGTCTTAGATGGATGGACAATTTAGTTGCCATTATGATACTTCAAAGACATAAGGGGGAAAATGAGATGGGATTGTTTGCACAGGTGATTGTCTTGGACCGGTAGCCGTTAGAGCAGGTTTGACTAAGCTCTGTAAAAACTCTTTACCGACAACATAAATTCTTCACCAGCAACAAGACAGACTGGAAAACACAACTCAGCAGTTATCCTACCTGCCCAACACTAGGGTAGAGGACCTGTCCCTGAGCTGATCCAATCTCTGCACATCTCTCTGTAGCATGGCTGCGTAACTGTTGGAAGTTAGTTTTAGTTTTAGAGTAAGACATTCACTGCACTTGCAAAACAGTTAGGTAATACGAGTGCGGAAGATCAGAGGTGTTAAAAAAAAAAAATATAAAAAAAGAAAGAAAGATAATAAAGGCAGATGCTTGATAGGAAAGGAGGTGCAAATCACACAAGACCGCCCTTCATCCCCTCAGTGTTGAGAATAAAATACACAATAATGATTTCAGATTCAAATATGGAAAAAATGCAGAGACCGACGATAAGGGTAAGTAGGCCTAAGAACAAAAAAAGGGTATAATATGTTAGAGAGAATAATAAGGACAATACGATTACAAATGACAGAAAACATTTTATGCCTCTTTCAGCACCATATCAACATCAATTTTGATCACTTCAGAGGAGGACTGCTTCGACTAGCTGTCAGGGCAGCCTGGGATGGGCTGGATATAGGATGCAAGTAGACAGACAGAGACATTCCATAAAACAAAGAAGCAGTCTTACTTTAAACAAAAATATACCATAAGAGCAGACCCCAAATTAATGCACTTAAGTACATGTGATGTAGTGAGTCAATGTTACTGGGAGCATAAATTTACTAGATAACTTCCCAATCAAGTATTTATCAACCCGTTATAATATACATGATCACAAAAAATGCAGACAATCAAATGCCATGGCATACTGCCCCCGTGTAATTCCTGCTCTCTAAAATAGGATTATCATGGTTTTTTTCAAAGACACATCATCATGACCTAAACGCCATGTAATCAACACACACTAGTGCACAGAAAACATGAACACGGGAAACTCAAAATCATAGACAGCTTGTACATTTTGCCATTTCCTGACGGATATTATTTCTTTAATTTTTCGTTATCGGTTAACTCAAATTTTGGATGTGTCAAACACATTTGTCGATCCCCGCCATGTTTGAGTTATCCGGGCCAGACCATATACTTGACACAACTTCACCCTAGTAACCATGAGGGCCACACAGTGGTGTGTAAACACCCGTCTTCTAATCCAATTATCTCCAATTCCACTGAATCCTACACATTTTTTTCTTGAGTCTTCATAGCTTTCAGGTACCATAGCTGCCAACTTTTCCAAACCAAAAAAAAAAAAAAGATTGCCCACAAAGCCGGTCAAGACAGTGGGGACTGGTCAAGAAACCCTCTCTCCTTCCACACACACTTTTCTGCATTCAATAAATTAAAGCTAATCAAAGTAGATCTGCTGCAAAAGATCTCTCTCATGAGTTTTGCACTTATTATCATTCACAAATTCAGTCTTGAAAGTCCATAATTTTTCTTCAGCATCGACAATCCTGTGAGAAGCCATACTAGAAAACAGAAGGTATGTGTTTTCCTATACAAAAACGGACTTCAGTACTCAGACCTTCAAAGACGTAATTAAGTACATTTTTCACAAAGTGTTCGGCAGTTATGAGATACTGATCTACACAGATGTTCAAAACGAGGTGCCGCCTAAAAACATCTCATGCAATCCTTATACCTTAGTTTCAGTTTTTTAAAAAGAGTTTAACAGCACTTGCATAACATGTTGGTCACATAAGTGCAGAAGATTAGAGAGTAACATGTAAAGAAAAGATGAATGAGAAATAAGGATGATAGATCTTTGAAAGGAAAGAAGAAGCAAACACCACAAGAGCACCTTGTAACAACCCAAATCTTGTATCTACATCTGCATAACTGGGAGACAAAGACTAATCAAAGGCAAACACACTAAAAGCATCAATGATAGACCGACGAAAGTCAATAACAGGACTTCATCAAAATGGGGCATTAAACATAAACAGCAACAAAAAAACAACCTTAAAATCCAGTGGCTCCATCTGATTGGCTGAGCCCTTTGCAAGTGAGTGTAGCCAGGCATGAGCACATCAATTTCCCTGATGAAGAAGAGTCATAACCATGATTGATTTTTTTAAGTTTTAGTAAGAGTTTTACTACACTTGCAAACAATGAGGCCATATGAGAGCCAAAGATTAGAGATGTCACAAGGGAGAAACAAACACAAAAAAGAAGTCAGAGAGATCAGTAAGATAGATGTTTGATAGAAGCAAACCACAGCCAGAGTAGAGCACCCGCCGACCACCCAACCTAAAATGAGACTCAAAAAGACAGACAAACTAATAACATTCTCATATTCAGAGCTGCCAACTGGCAATGATAAAAATCCAAAACATTGCAGTAAATAATCAAAAACCAGTTTGGGCACTGGAGTTTGAGAAAAGAGAAATGCATTGACACAATAACCGTCATTTAGTGTTGGGGGAAAAAGCGAGACAGAAACAACAGGGAAGAGAAAGAAAAAAAATAAGATCTACCAGAAGTATCCTCAAAGAGTCTACATAACAAGAGGGGCCACTCCTCTCTTTGAGCCAATTAAAAAAGCGTCCTCAAAATTCTGTGGCGCCCTCTTCGCAAATGTGCACCCTTTGCGAACAGAGTTACTCTACTTGAGTTTTTAAAAATCAAAGTGAAACTAGCAAGTTTTTAAATAAATTTCGGAAGAATGCTTTTTTTTAAATGGTTACACCGACAAAAAACTTCTTCCGGCGGAAAGGGTGATTGTTTTCTTCATTTAATTTGTCTTTGGAATGAAAGGCGAGAGGTCATTAAAATTTTTAAAACCTAAAACTCTGCACTGAATGAACCCGAACTGCTGATGAACAGCAGTCGATCTGCGCACGCAAGGAGGTGCTATTCCTATTCTTCTTCTGGAAAAATGAAAGAGAGCTTCAAAACAGACTGCAGCGCCATCTGAAGCAAAGAGCGAACTTCCAGCGGACACTTTTTTGGCTGATTGGCCCATCTTGTTATGTACTATCTTTGGTATCCTACAACCACACACAATTAAATACTAGAATCTGGTGAAAAACCAAGAGGAAACCAAATACGTTACTCATTATTAAAGTATTCTTTGCGGAGGTGTTATGCGGAAGAGCTCTTACACTTCAGCCCTGCTGACCATGACACGGACAAGCTCACAGATATGTCGTGTCAACGTCTTGACTGCATCGGTCATCCACAATCTCATGTCCATGGCCACCTGGTCATTCCTGCTGCGTCCAGTGTGAAGCTTGCCACCAGCTGATCCTATCAATTCCTGGTGAGAAAACAGAGAACAAAATAGTTTTTAAGGGCCACACTTCATGTTGAAATATTGCGAACTCACAGTACTACCTGTTGAACCTACCAGTTCCTGAACCAAGACGAGAAAATGAAATAATCATCAAAGGTCCTTCTTCACAACCAACCATTCTTGAGGTTGTACTTTTGTTTATCTAGAAAATTCTTTGATGAATGTTGAAATACACTGAGAAAAATCTCCAAATAATGAAGGCAGTAAGCATAATGTCGCGGGGGGGGGGGGGGGGGGGGGGGGGGGTAGGTCCACGTTAGAAGATTTTAGAGGTAGGCACCCGCCAAATATATGTCTACTTTTGTCATCGAGAGAACTGAGAAATGGAAAAGAAATGTAAAAATGAAGATAAGGAAGATCTACTTCATTTGTTATTCACAAACCCTGTAGGAGGGATCTGCCAAACGTGGCATAAGTATGTATAAGCCTGTTTGTGACTGTATTTCTTTATATTCAGCTAGTAAGAAAATGAGATAGTTCTTAAAGGCCAAACAAAATACATAAATGACAATTGTATGAGCCCCCTCCCTCCTCAGAGGGGAAAGACATGACAAAAGATCCCTTTGTCAATTTGGATACGTAGCACACATAACTCGCCTTTTTTCAAATTAAGAAAACATTGCATCAGGTCGAAAAATGCAGAATAAACTAAGTAAAAGGATGACACTACTACAGACCTTCAGTCGTCTCTCATTGGCAGTGTGTATGTCCTCATCTCCAGGTCGAATCTCAAAAGTTCCTGCCTCCCACTCATGCTTGACCTTTATGGTAAAAAAAAAAAAAAAGAAGCCCAGTGACAAAGTCAAAGAACTGTGGACACCAGCAAAGCCGAGACCGACCCACCATCGGATAATGGAAAGAGAGGTTATAAGTATGTTCAAAGTCAAGACGTAGCAAATACAAGAAAAAAAAGGTTACACACATTAATCATTAAAACACGAAGGAGAGGTATGTATTTGTCGCTACTTGAAGAAATGAAAGACAAGCTTTGACATGAACAAGTCTATGATACTCTCATCGCTATAATATCCAAACAACAACTCATCATATCTGTCGCAGTGTTGCACATTTAGCCAAGAACAATGCTCATTATCCAACTTTTTAATCAGTTCTAGGAGTAACCGGGTTCTGGACTAGGTTTATGACTTAACACAGCTTCCAGACTTTTTACATAGCTCTCTCTGACAGGGGGCTCTCGTGGCCTAGAGGGTAAGGTGTTCTCCTGTCATTCAAAGGTCCCGGGTTCAAATCTGGGTAGCGACGGAAAAGTTTTCTTCTCTATAATTGTCTCCTTTCACCTCCTTTCCTGCTCTCTAGCAATGTTCTGTCATATGCTTTCATCTCTACTTTCTGCCCCCACCCCTTCATCTCCTTTGTCCCCTCTTCTCAGCTCCTGAATCCTTCCGCAGCCTTTCTACTGCTACTCCGTGGCTGTTTCTTACTGCTGTCTTTCAGCCACACCCCTGATCTTCTGGTAGGAAAGATCTACACCTAACCTTCTGGGACAAGGGCGAAAAATCTCGGGGTTCCTGAGTGCACGTTGCGCACGTTAAAGATCCTTTGGTGGTCTTAAATCGATAAGAGTAGGCTTCGACCGCCACCGGGGCAAAATTCAAAATTTCCTAGCAACTGAAAATGTTTGGCATGTCCCGCGTGCTCATATGACCTTATGCAGTTGCGAGCGCCGTAAAACACCTACCAAAAAAAAAAAAATCTCTCAGACAAGTCCCTCTCGGCTATCTCCTTCCATTTTTCTTGTGGAGCGCACCTCAGTGTACTTCACCATTAGCATCTCTCTCTCCCTCTCCATTGCTCTCTCTAGAGAGAGAAAGAGAGAGAGATAGATTGAAAGGGAGGGGAGAGAGAGAGAGAGAGAGAGAGAGGGAGAGAGAGAGAGAAACAGAGAGAGATAGATAGAGAGGGAGGGGGTGGGAGAGAGAGAGAGAGAGAGAGGGTGGGGGAGAGAGAGAGAGAGAGAGAGAGAGAGAGAGAGAGAGAGAGAGAGAGAAGCCAGGATTTATTATAACATTTTGAGACGATGACGTTTTAAGAGATCAAAGTTGATGGTCAGGGACTATAACAACAATTATGGGTTACGACCATCTGCTCATTGACTCCTCAAATACCCTTCCCATTCTCAGACGCTTTGGTACTAACTCCACCCCCCCACCCCCAGACAGACAGACAGACAGACAGACAGACACAGAGAGAGAGAGAGACAGAGAGAGAGAGAGAGACAGAGAGAGAGAGAGACACAGAGAGAGAGAGACACAGAGAGAGAGAGAGAGAGAGAGAGAGAGAGAGAGAGAGAGAGAGAGAGAGAGAGAGAGAGAGAGAGAGAGAGAGAGAGAGAGAGAGAGAGAGAGAGAGAGACCCTTCATGAAAAGAAATATGAAAAAGAGCAAGGATTTCTTAAATTCAGCCAAAATAAGAACTGAAAAGGCATATGTAACAAACTTTCACTTTTCAGTGCCACTTCTGTCAAAACTGAAATATTTTACAGTCAGACCATGACCCTTACTGTTTTCCCATGACTCAGCAAATGCTATGAATATAAATATAATCAAAACACAGATTGTATATTCAATGTCTAGTTCTACACATCTGATGCCACAGGACAACATTTCACATTGAGACTCACTTTTTCCAGCCCTTCATAAATGTCTTCTCGCTCCTCCGCTGTGACCAGCTTGGCTTTCTCTAGAGCCAATACATAAGCCTGGCTACCCTGCAAAGCAAGAGGAAAAAATAAAGTATACATGACGATACTTATTGTTATTTTTTTTAAATTGTAAATTTCTTCTTCTTCTTCTTCCTCGTTCTCAATGACAGCAGCTAGACAGTCAGTCCGATGTCGTGTACAAACTGTGTAGTTAGCTTCAACTCTGAAAGACAAGTTGTAAATGATTTATACCCCCATCAACACAGTTTACATTATCTAAGAAGCAGGCTGCTTCATCCTTGCCAGTCAGAGCTAGCACAGGCTATGAAGGAAGAAAAAACTTCCTGTTTCTTTGAGCACATGCTTCATTATATCACTATCGACACAATTTGGTCACATAACCACCACAAACAGATTCTTCTATGAACAGCTTTCTTATTACTAATTAGAAGAACAAAACTATTTATATAATCTTGGACAAATAAACAATAAATAAATTTAAATTACACAATAACTTGACCTGTTAAGTGATCATGATCAAACACAGACATGCTGAAAGTTCATATTGCAGTCTATTGTAATTCTGTATTTTCAATTCACTGTAGCAATTACAGAATTGTTTAATTTGACTAGACTAAATAAATGGATAACTAATTCAAACCGATAGTCACAACTAGAGAGGGAGAAATAAATAACTTGCAACACTTCCTATCATAGTTGTGTTGTTAAGGGACATTTTGATTCAGTGCAGGGAAAAGCAAGACAGATAAACAGGAATAACAGTGGCGTCGGTGGCCTAGTGGTTAGGCACTCGGACTCGCAACCGTAAGGTCGTGGGTTTGAATCCCGTCAGGGGCCTGACGTTGTGTCCTTGGGAAAGGCACTTTACACGAATTTTCCTCACTTCACCCAGGTGGGAATGGGTACCCGGCTATAGACAGTGAAAGATCTTGTTAGTTTGTTAGTGTTTGAGCGCTTAATCAGCTGCTTGCACTGTATGCTTCCCGGGAAGCTGAGAATGTTTCGGAGTGTTCTATGGTCTGCTGGGGTAATAATATAGTGTAAAGCGCATAGAGCCTGCTGTTGAGCGGGGATATGCGTTATACAAATGCTATCTATTATTATTATTATTAAAGAAAATAAGTAAGACCAACCAATCGCCAACTTACAAGAATGCAGGAATGCAGAACTTCCTGAAAGAATCAGTAACTTAATTGTGTTGTAGGAGCCGTAAAACTCTTACTAAAAAGACTCACCTCAATATCAGCCTTCCACATGCGTTTGTCGTAGTGGATGGAGGCGTTGAACTTCTCCATGATGGGATCAACTGTCCCTGTGAATCGTCCACCCCATAATTTGTTGCCCTGCAAAGTGAGAAATACTAGCTTAATGTTTTATGAAACAGCCTCAGGCGTATTTGGGTGTTCCCTTTTCAGATACTTATAAGACTTGAGAATAACAGAAATTGCTGAGATTAACAGAGATGCTCACTCTTGAAAATTACATAAAAACAATTCAATTCCAGTGTTTATGTTTTCTTTCATTCAGTTCAAATTTTTCATTGCTGTTGAGTTTTGTTCGGGTTTTTTGTTTTTTGAGGGGGGTTTTTTTTTTTGGGGGGGGGGGGTTTGTTTTGTTTGGTTTTTTTGTTTTTTGGGGGGGTTGTTTTTTTATTGAAGAGATGGACACAGGACCAATAATGATCATTTAAAGATGCATGGCAATAAAAAAAGGGTAGACAGAAAGAAACAAATGAGGTAAAGAGAAGAAGTTAAGGTCCAACCACTGATGCCTCCAAGGCAGGCATCGGCACTGATTCGGTGACCCTTTAGGTACCCCAAGCTTTCACTGGATATCATTCTGTCTCGTTCGCAATATACAAAAAATCTATAAATAAACCAAACAAAAAGCTCAGTTTACTTTCTTTAGTTCGGCTTTTGATTCGTTCAACTAATTTAACTTGGCCTTCAGTGGTGAGCAATATTGACAATGCACACAATAGTCAAAAACTAGACACACAATGAGGGCTGCAGTAACACTGGAGATATAAGATAAGATAACATAAGATACATCTTTATTGTCCAGATCCTGGCACATTGGTTTGGTGTTAAGGAAGTGTCCAACATTTTAACACTGGAAGAGCAGGTTCCTGGACTGTCGCCATGCTCCACACCCAGCAAAAGCCGGCTTCCAACATCCTAAACAAAGACTGGTGCTGACTTATTATGCCATTGCCGGCGCACATGTGATTTTTAGTAACAAATCTTATAACAATGAACATAATAAATCAAAGAGACCAAAATGCATTATCTACTAGTATTACCTTTTCAGCCATATCGCAGGAAAAGTAAAACCACCTTACTGCACTTCTCTAGCCCTGAACCTGTCAAAGGTAAAGAGAGATAATAAGAATAAGATTACTAAGCAAAAACTAAGACCACGACTTTTTTGAAGCCTTATATCTGTAGAGACTATGACCCATAAACTTAACTGCAAATGAATTATAATGAAGACACACAACAGGAAAGTAGACAGGAAAGTAGACCATAGCACTCTGATATGATTCCATTCTGAATGTGACAGTTCCAAACACACTTTCACTAAACAAAACAAAACAAGTGGACGTGACCAGATCACAGACATTTGCATAAAAAAGGTCAGTTTTGTTATAAATACCAAAAAATGGTATTCTTTTCTGTGTTTCACTCACTACAACTTGTTTTTTACAAAAGCAAATGAGTCACGACGCGGTGAAATCAGGCTCTCATCAATTTTTGGGCATGTAGAGTTATAGGTATCACCTTAAACGTTGTTCATTTGTCTTGAATACAAGTTGAGATATTTGCAAATGAAGGAGGTTGGGGTCACCTGGTTAAAGAGGTAAATTTTTTAATTCGTAAGAAAATAGCTGCCAAAGATGAGTTATTTCCTTAGCTTGAGAGGGCGTGGAAACTGAAAAATTACATTTTTTGTGCCTTTAATCAAAGTTTTTCAGTAAAATCCACACATAAATATGTTCTTTAATGGGCATGAAAGGTGTTGAGCCAAATAACAAAAATTCAATAAAACTTCACAAGCCTGCGGGAAAATGTCAGTTTCTTCACTTTGATCATTTTGACGAGAGCCTGATTTCACCATGCTGCCTCACAAATTCATGCTCATGAAACATACAGCACAAAACAACAACATTGTACACATTCGTATGTCATTGTGTCTCCGCCAATCCCTTTTCTTTACAAAGCATTAAAGGAGCATTAAGAAGTAAGAAAAGAACCAATCATCCGTGACTGAGAATTTTAAAGTTGTCCTAGTGCTATAAATAAAACCTCTTTTCTTTTCCACGTGTTCTGAGATCTCAGTGCTTCTCTAGGTCGCATGGGCCTTTCATTTCATCATAAACCAGGAAACTTGAAAACCTTTTCAAGCTAAGTTGCCTAACTAGGAAAGCAAATGCACAGAAAGCTTTAACATCAGAGCTGCATAATTTATTCATATCTAAAATGAGCCATAAAAGTATAAATAACTTTGTCATGTGTTGGCACATCCTGTATTGCTCTTAAGCTGCATTATGCTTGTGTGCAAGCATGAGAGCCTTTTGAAATAAGATACTTTTACTTGGTGTTGAAAGCCCCAGTACTTCAGAAACCTTTGCCGGATATAAGCTGCAGCTATTCTTCTAAAAAAGGAGTGTCCTTAACTTGAAATTAAAAAGGGAGAATCATAACACCTGTATTTGGCTTCTAGTCATTATGGGTAGGTTCAAGTGCACGAAGTACAAGAAAGCCTTTTCAGTTTGCAATGACGATAGTCCAGTAAGTTATTTTACGCTTTTTCTTTTAAATGTAACAACGACTCACAGTATTATTTGGATTTCACAAACCATTTTTGCTTTGTCATTAGTCGGTTATAACTTTCTGTCTGTCTCAGCTTGGGTCATGAATGTTGAGAGAGTATCTCAGAAAAAAAGTTTTGAAAACAAAATCAATAGTATTTAAGCATTGCTAGTACAAAATTTTATGATAAGGGGTCTATCTATAAACTAGAAATATTATCATAAATTGTATTCATACAGACCACAAGGAGTTTCTTGCTCACAACTGAATCAAAGTAAGCTCTTCTTTTCCATTAATTCTGTGACAGTTTCAGAACAAAGGGGAGCACATCGACACTACAACAGATATATAGTGCAATGAAATTGCATGACTGTCATAACAGACTGAAACAATAATGACAAAATTACAGGGGGGTGGACTCTACACTCTTGGTGCCCTCCAGCCACTCACGACTCTGAAATAACACTTGTCATCCAATACCTCACCAGTAATGTAGTCTGCATCAAACTTACAAATGTAACCCCCCCCAACCCCCTGCCAAACTGTACCCCAACACAAATGTTGGTTTTCAGCAAATACAACCAGCTGGAGTTGGGGCAAAACTTTCCCTCCAAGACCATGAGAAATCAATACATCTCTAAACTACAATCCATGAATCCCCTCCCGCAGCAATTAATACTAAATCTATATTTGGCAACAAATTTGGAAATCTCTCCCCAGGAGTAATTGTCACCCTCAGGACAAACAATGAAATTATGGCAAACAGGGGAAGAAATTTTGTAATCAATTCTCCACACATACAGGTACAGTGTACAGCATCAGTACGCATCTGAATTTTCTCATTTGCATGTATAAGGAAGTTATAAACATTCTGTGTTTCTTGGTCATGTATCAGCCATAATGCCATACTTGTCTGGATCACATTTATTAATACATGCAGATGGAATCCATTTTATTAGATTTTTTGTAAATTTCAGAATTATAATATTCGACACTTATTCTGCAATGCTGCCGAGATATCTGCCATCACTGCAACTGCCTCCTGGGCATTCTTCTACTCAACAGAACATAGGTGTCAGTGTACATCATAAGTTTATAACTCTCTCTAATTAACCCAGAAGGTGATGTTTGAGATAACAGAAAACGATCTATGATTAAAAAAACATAATATAACATACTATAATCTTTTCCTTTATTGCAATTAATTTGGTGCTTGCAATCGTTTCTCAGTAGCACTGGGCCACACAGGCATAATTGAGTACTCAGAATTAACATCCACATCCGACAGGGCAAAGCCAAAAGGGGAAAATTCATGTAAAATGTAAAGTGTCTTTCTTAAGGGCACAACATTGAACCAAGCTGAGCCTCCAACCCCTGAACCCACAATCTCATGATAATTAAGAGTCTGGTAGCCCCTAGTGGCCCTAGACTACCTACTCCACAATAAACTTTACACCAAGTTAACAGAATAGAATATACAAACGAACCGCTGAAATGACCAAATGAGATCACCACATATACTTCTCTGGACCATAACTCAGCGAGGAACCTATATTTATCAGGTGAGTTCAGTCTTTAATATCAGGTCAACTCAGGATGACAGACCAGCCAGTGTACCCATTTATCCGAATTGTAAATGTTTTCCACCACCGTTATCAGGGGTCAAAAAAGTCTGCGACAAGCAGATAGTCTACCCAGTACTGTAAAAGACAAATCAGACTTGCTACAACCCAGCTGGTCTTTTTGACTGGGAAGATTGAATCCTTTTTTCTTCAAATTGAAAATCATTCATCAAAGTCGAATTATATGCAATGTATTCCATGTTCGAAGACGCAAAGATTGATTTTTTTTTTTTAAACATGACTTAAAGTAGAAAGCATTATAAGTTCAGGAAGATTTGAAGACTTGATCCTTCTTTGTGCTCAGCACAAGTCTCAAAGTGACAAATTTGATTTCGGGGGGGGGTTAGTGTCAAAGCGTCAGAGGATGGGAAGGGTGTTAATTGAGGAGTCAATGAGCAGATGGTCGTAAACTATAATTGTTGTTATAGACCCTGATCATCAACTTTGATTTTTTAAAACGTCATTGTCTCAAAATGTTTATACTGGCTTCCCTTGACAGAAATGGAAGTTTCTGTCTGACAGGTTTCAGAATTTATGAAATACATGAAATTCAGAGCGATGTCAGTACAGAGCCAGCGTTCAAACAGGGAACCATTCGCTGCAAGCCTGCCTAATAAGGCACTAAGAAAGAAATATTGGCCCAACACTGGGCAGGGAGACCCAAAACTCTACGGGATGCTGGAGGACCTGCGCCGAACAGCAGCCTTTACTCTAGAAACGGGGATCGGTCCATTTAAAAAGGCGAGAAAACGAAGAAGATAGAATATATGGTGACCTATCTCAGCATCTAGCAATCACACTATGCAACACTAGTAGTAATAGAGTTGGCAAACTATGGCCATAGCTGTTTCCAAAGAAGTTGTGCCTTTCAGATGCACTGCAATTAAAAGGATTGATTAAAGGAAAACAGACAGTACCCCCTCCCCCCTTTGAAAACTAAATTAGTCGCAACCTCCACTCAATGGCAGCAATAAGGCTTGCTATGCTGTTAGGCAGACACCTCGTTGCTGTATCACACATGATTACTATAATAGACCTGATCTAAGACAAATTAATTAAGCCCTCTATACTCAATAATACTACGGCATGCTCTCTCGCACACACACAAACACACATGCATTAAATAACTTTTACCCCACCCTGCTAGGCATTCTCATGCTCATTGAGGAAACTAATAGAAGTCAGTCTATACGCTAAAAACTTTTTTTTTTAGATTTTAATGTCAGACAGACCAAAAAAAGAAAATAATATTTATAATAGGCCTAATAATAATAAAATCATCATCATCATCACTTCAATTGCGCCTATTATATTCACCTACTCCCTTTTCGTTCCTGGTACTTGATCACCGTTAAACATTTTAAAATCGACAGCTAACACAATTACATGCTGTATGCATACTGGCCCAAACAACAATCCTTTTAAACACATACTATAGTATATAGGCCTACACCCAAAATATTATAAAGAACACATTATACAAAATTGCAATCACTGAGGCTGCTGATCACGCTTTGAAAAAAAAATTAATCAAACTAGATTCTAGTTAGCAAAAATAAAAACTTACACAAATCTAGGCCTATTGCAACAACTATAAGTCAAACCTGCCCTGACCTGACGGCCACCTCTATAAGATGGCCACCTGTACAAACGGTGGCCACTTTCCATTTCCCCCCTTGCATTTTTTCTACATAATTTAACTGTGTAAAACGGACACCTGTCCAACGCGTCCGCGGCCACCATATTTTAACACTCAACCCCTGTCACACTAAGCAATAACACCTGTCTTAGACGGCCACCTTAAATTAATTAGTGCCTCCATTACGTTTTGTCATAAATTGTGCATTGGCCCCTGGCGTTGTGGGCGAGGCATCATAATTCAATCACCTGTCGTTGTTGTTAGGTAGTCACTCCAAAGGTAAGCGTGTGATCCTTCATAACCCATAAGCCCCGCCCAGAACTCATACACAAATCGTAAGTGAGATGAGTGCAGTCACTGTTAACCCAGTCTGCAAAAAAGTATCAAAGGACGTCAACATAAACTTGCGACAGAAGCGTCGCTCGTTCTCCGAGTGGTGGCAACCCATGTGTTTGTTTTAACATGGCACTCGGTATTCCTCCTCAGATACATTTCGTTTTATTGTCACCCTTGTGCAAAATCAGCAACAAAATAAAAATTACAAACAAAATACAAACCAACAACAACAACAACAATAAAGACAACAACAATATGGGGCTACTTTCAATTGGGGCCTCAGATAGGAATGGTTTGTTTTCTTCAACTTGATCAGTCCTGCCAAAGACGGCCACCTGTCTTATACGGCCACTTTTCTCCTTGACAAGGGCTGGCCGTCTTACACAGGTTTGACAGTATTTTAAAATAATCAAGAGACTAGAAATCTAGATCAATTTTTTTTCCAACATCTTGATCTAGATTCTAGATATCTAGATCTAGATCTCTACATCTCAAGAATAAGTCGGGAAATATAACATTCTGACAAGTAACATGACTTGGTAAGATTGAAGAATACCAGACCAGCAGACTGACTAGGAATTCAGATCATGATTTTCCCCAGTTTTTAACATCTCTCAATGGAGAATCTCGGACCGGTAAATCTATTCATTAAAATTTTGTCAGGGGAGAGACCCCCCTGAAACCCCCCACCCCCTCCTCCACCCGACCCACCCACCCCACCCACAACACATTCTCGCGCAATAAGTGGTCCAGTATTCTTTAATCTTCCCCATGACTTATCACAAGTGATAACAACTTACAAACTCTGATAAAACAGTCCAAATGTAGGCTATTTCTCACAACGTTCAACATAAAATAATATGCATTAAGACAAGTGATAATTTGACATACTGATAACTTGACATACGACAGCCCTGACAAAAACCAGTCCAAATAGCTATAATAATGACAATATTACTTCTCACTACAAGAACTACTTGACCTGTGACAACTCTGATAACAGTCCAAATGTATCGTGTCTCTTGATTTGCAGCAACTTTTCACTCTAAGCAGACCCTAGTCACACAGTACAAAGCTGCCGGTAGGATACACACCTGTCACCTGTCCAGTCCAATGCACCTGTCTTCAAGCTCAAGTCAGCAAGTCAGTCTTTCCCGGAAATTTAATGTGGGCTTGCTGGAGAGTTTGCACGAACAATTATTGGCAGTGTAGGCTTACAACCTGCCACCGACAAGGACTATTACTTACTATTAATAGCACTATTTTAGCACTGTCAGGAGATTCTGTTACGATGGCCTTCAACTTTGTGCGCACTGCGTACGAGCAAAGGCAGTCTTATCCAACGACACGACAGTTCGCACGGAGAACAATAATAAACAAAGAGCCGGTTGTAAGAGGCAGTCTCAGCTGCAGGCTAATGCAACTGCCGGTGTCACAGTCTTCCAATCACGTCCGGGACGAGCTTGAAATTGTATCCGTGTCTCCTCACACTCGCACACTGCACACTGCACACACACACTCCGTCACTCACCAGCTGGTAGGCCGCACTCTTATGTTTACATTTAGTATCTCCAGAATTTTAGAGAAGATAAGCCGCACAAAAAGTGGCGAAAATTGCCAAAGCTCTGGCCTATCTGGACACTTGTGTAGCGGAGAATTCAGTCGCCCCTGAGCAAGTCAAGGCGAAACATTGTATCGTTTCAATCACCACACTATTATTTTTGTTTGGTTTATGTTTTGTTCATAATATGTTTGTCCTGACAGAAAATAACCCAAGACTCTCCTTCCCTACTCTGTGTGTAGAAGAAGAAGACGAAGCTGACAACTGCTGCTGCTGTTGATGATGATGGTGATGATGATGATGATGATGATGGTGGTGGTGGTGGTGGTGGTGGTGATGGTGAAGATAGGGATGATGATGGTGTGGTGATGATGGAATAAGATAATATAGTGGCTATTATAATTAGACTATATATTTTTAGTAGCCTAATTATCACCATTATAAAAGTACTGCAATATGTGAATCCGTTCTTTAGCCTGTTTGTACAGACCTTACCGTTTAAAGGAGACCCTAGTCCACTAGGCTTCCACTATAATATGTGAATGCTCAATTATATTTTTGTCAAGTATGCTCTTCGGCCAAGGTTACATCTCTCTCTCTCTCTCTCTCTCTCTCTCTCTCTCTCTCTCTCTCTCTCTCTCTCTCTTTCTCTCCCCACTTAACACAACACACACACACACACACACACATAAACACACACACATTTGAATTTGAATAAATGAATAAGCCATGAAAAACAAGTGATATCTTAACAACCTTTTACAGGGCGGTTTTTGTTGTTGTTGTTTTGTTTTTTGTTTTTTTTTTGGGGGGGGGGTCGTTATTTTTAGCTTATACCTCTACTCTCAGATTGCCTCGTTGTTAGTACAAAGTAAAATGGATCGCCTCGCATGACCACACAGAGATCCAAATATTAGGTAGGCCTACTTGCCACACAATAAGGTCATATAGTAGAGCCGAAGAATAGATGTGTCACAAGAGAGTACCGTAACAAACCACACAAAAAAGAGGAGGAGAGATAAGGACGATATACAACAATGTGAATGTGTTATTGAAAAGAAGGAACAAACCATACCAGAGCACCCTCCAAGCACTCACCTACTGACAGATGTTTGTAAAGGAACCACACGCATTCATTTCAGTTTTGTTTGAGCCCTTTCTCTGGCAACTAGTTATAACAACACCCAGAGACCGTGTTTCGGTATATCGATATTTCTAACTACATACAAGCCACAATTATAAGATTTTTTTTTAATCCTCAAATTACAATGTAGTTGAAATAAATGTGCTCTGCTCTCAAAATGATTTTTCAAAACAAACTTTATTACGTATGATCATTTTTACTTTTTTTTTTTTACATGGTTCCCGGCAACCTGGGTGTAGTACACCCGTGTAACTTACACTTTATATAGTGAAGAAAAAAATCTTTCTCACGTCTAGGGTAACCTTACTTGGTTGAAACATGTACACCATTCATGGACTGAAAATAAAGAATGATAAAACTTAAACAAACGTTGATTTTGGTGGTACTTAAAGGTACATGTAGTATTTCACCAAGATTGGTATCATACTTGCGCACACACATAGGAACTGATCGGATGTTTGATGGTGATCATTTTATGAAGCTGAGAAAATGCGTCACAAGTATGTATCACTAGTATCAATAAAAAGTGTCATGGAAGATAATTGAAAAAGCAGAATATACATGTATAATCAGATATCATAGTCTGTTGACAGGGTAGTAGAGCCCCGGGATTTAGACAAAATAATTCTTGCGGTAAATCGCTGAATATTTCTTGTAAATTAATTTGCTGCAGTTTGGCGGTGTCTTGTGGTTTCTTTTGGCATGGCAGAAGATGAGGAAGAATATTTCTTTGCTTGGAGTTGTCATCTTCCCCCTGGTCTCTATTTTTTAAAATGATGCATTTATCACCCGTGTACATAGTACATATTTGTGCCAGTGAGTTGAGCTCCGCAGAAACATGTTGCTTGATTCGCTGCTGAAGTGAAGGGATGTCTAAACGTCCCTGGATTTGCAGCACATCAAGTGAGGGTCTAATGCTGATGTTAACTTATTGTTGTCGTTTGTAGCCTACCTAGCAAGAAACTAACTAACTTGACTCTGGGATGGATCCTGAAGAGGGGGGAGAGCAGAGATGGACATGTTCCGACTGTAGTAACCCCAACACTGTGGACAAGGTGTGACAAGGAAACTAACTTATAATCACACGGGTACAAATCTAATACTAATAGAGAACAAATCTATAAAGTTGTAGAGCTTGGCAATGGGCCATCCCATTGACCGCAAGCACATGAGCCATTTACCACTCCATGGCCTCAACACCCCAATTTATTGTTGTCGGTAAGCACGATGTCAGGCACCAGAAACCTCTGACTGAGACAAGACTGTATCTGGCTCAGGGGAATCCATTTCTTATTTATTTTGCTTCGGTGAGGGAAAAAGATCTGATTCTTGCCTGAAAACAAACTTTTAGGCTTCAACGGGTAAAGCTTTGTTCTCCTGGAACTCTTTGGGCAAGAATCATTTGTTCCGCTTTACTGTCCCAACAATGCGAACATCTTTCTTGCAAGGATTTAGCCAGATTTAAAGCAGTGAAATATATGTCACATTTAACATTGTGGCCAGCTGCGGAACTGGCCTACCAGAAGACAACTACATCTCCGCTCGACGCTTAACAGCAACAGAGTACCGGTAAGAAGAGAAGTGGCAATGTGAGAACAAAAAGCAACAGTCCTTTAGGTCGGTCAGTGAGCCATCGGCAAGTTTCCAAGGTATGGACGGCCTCTCAGACAGAGTTCACAGAGGATACTTTTGCGGCAGAATCGCAAGCCCAGAAGTTCTGGTCTCATAATTTTATTTATGGAGTTTTCAGAGGATGTACAGAAGAATTTGCAGCGGCCTAGGAACGAAACAAGTTGCTCGTCCACTGTGATGTCTTTTTGCTGGAACAAAACCTTGGCCAGAATATTCAGAAAGGTCTTCCAGAGCTCACGACATGGGGCGAAAACGTTCCTTGCCCGACAAACAGATCATGTTCTTTTGTTATCAAAGTGTAAATCGTTCAGTGGGGTGCTGAATCGTTTTTTAAAAAAGGCTGCTTTAACCAAGATTCCACTCTGCGTGGGTGAAAAAAAACTGCAAATAAGAAATACTTTGACGCATGGTACCAATTTGTAATTTCCAGCTAATAAAGGTTTTCATCTCAGTTGAATCAATGTGCTTTAGCTGGGG